GTTAATTTGTACAATTTATACTTTTGTAACATATATATCCATTTCACTTAGATTATTAGATGTATTGATCTATAATTGGGCAAAACAGCTGCTAATAATTGCTTTAATTTCATCTTCATTGGTGGTGCATTCACCCTTTTCATTTTTGATACTGGTAATTTGGTTTTCATTTTTCTTTTAAATCAAGTTAACCAATGGTTAATCCATTTTATTGAATTTTCATAAAACTAACTCCTTGTTTTATTTATTAGTTCAATGTTGTTGTTTTGCTTTTAATTTTATTACTGTTTTGTTTGATTTTCAGGATTTCTATTTTGGTGCTTAAATGGCTATTTTTAATTTGATTTTTTTTCTAGTTTTTTTTTAATTGCATGCCCAATTTATTGATCTGCTCTTCTTTTTTTTTAATCAATGTAAGCATTTAGAGATATAAATTTCCCCTTACGTACTGCTCTGGCTACATCCCACAAACTTTGGTATGTTGTCTCATTGTGGCCATTGTCTTTAATGAAATTATTTGTTGTTCTTATGAGTGGCTCTTTAACCCACTCATTCTTTAGGATTAGATCATTTAATTTCTAATTAATTTTTAATCTGTGCTTCTAAGGCCCTTTATCAAATATAACTTTTATTACATTATGATCCAGAAAGGGTAAATTTAATACTTTTGCTTTTCTGCATTTGTTTGTGAGGTTTTTATGCCCTGATACATGGTCAATTTTTGTGAAATGCCATATATGAAAGGTATATTCCTTTCTATTCCCATTCAGTTTTCTCCAGTGTGATCATATCTAACTTTTCTAAAATTTTATTCATCTCTTTAATTTCTCTTATACTTACTTCATGTTTAGATTTAGCTAGTTCTTGCTACCCCTGCCTTTTTTACCTCAGCTGAAGCATAATTGATTTGGCTCCAGACCCTTATTTTCACTTTGCATCTTTATCTTTCTTCTAAATAAAATATTGTTGGATTCCGGTTTCTAATCCATTCTGCTATCCACTTCCATTTTATGGGTGAATCTATCCCATTCACATTCACAATTATGATTACTGTGTATTTCCCTCCATCCTATTTTTTCTGTTTATTTTTCTCTTGTTCTTTTTTTTTTAACTAATTCCCTCCTCAAAAGTCTATTTTGCTTCTAATCACTGCTCCCTTTAATCCACCCTCCCTTTTATCATCCCTGCCCTCATATTTCTTATCTCCTTCCCCTCCTACTTCCTTATTGGGTAAGATAGACATCTGTACCCAACTGAGTGTGTGTGTGTGTGTGTGTGTGTGTTTGAATGTATATGTATATATGTATATATGTATATATGTGTGTGTGTATACATACATACATACATATATACATACATATATACATATATATATATTTCCCTCTTTGAACTAATTCCAATGAGAGTGAAGTTCAAGTGTTGCCTGTATCAAACCTCCCCTCCATTTTCCCCTCCTCTGTAAAAGCTCTTCCTTGTGCACCTTTTATGTGAAATAACTTCCCCTATTCTTCATCGCCCTTTGTCTTTCCAATGTTAGTTAAGTTTTAAACTATTAAAGCTTCAGACTTCACTAAGACTTTTGGGGTACCCCCTAACAGAGCAGATGAGCAGCAAGGCACATGGGGGGAGCCAAAAAGTCCTTCCGGGGAAGATGGGGTTTGAGCTAAGCCTTGAAGGAAGCCGGGTAAAACTAAGAGGAAAAGGTGAGGAGACAGCATTCCACGTCGGGGGACAGCTTGGCATAGAGATGGGAAATGGACGGTCACGTGTCAGGAGTAGCAAGTTGGTCAGTCTAGCTGCATTGTAGAGCATGTGGAGGGGAGTTAGGCAAAAGTCAGTCAAAGGCCAGGATGTGATGAACCTCGAATGTCAAAAAGAGTGTTCCATATTTGATCCTGAAGGGAATTGGGAACAGTCAGAGTTTATTATTGATTGGTTGCTTTAGAAGGGAGGGTAATATTATATATAACAAGTCCTGTTTTGAATGTGTTAAAAGCTTAGCATGCTTAGGAGACACTCAGTTCAAGGTTTACAGAACAGAACTCATCCCTAAACTCACCTTTCCTCTTCACCTCTCTCTCCAAGGGTGCCATCATTTTCCTTTTAGGCAGCCGCATTGGCAACGGAATAATTTTCAATTCTTCATTCTCCTTTGTCTTCCATAGCCAGTCAGTTTCCATATCTTGTTTGTCTGACTTCCCCAATATCCCTTCCATCCCTCCTCTTTCCTCTTCTTCTACTTCAGCCATTTTAGAGCTCAGACCCTCATTACCTCAACTATGACAATCGCCTCTTCATTGCTCTCCCTGCCTCTAGCCTCTTTCCTCTCTAATCCACACCTTAAGACAGTTGCCAAATCAGTACTCCTAAAGTGAAATTCTGACCACATCCGTTTCCCCTTTACTGGTAAAGTACAAACTCCTCTATGTAGCACTTAGGACCCCTCCATCCTAGCTTTGCAAGCTGATGACACACAGCTCTCCTTACTTTCCAGCCCCACCGACCTATTCATTGCTCCCCTTCTTCTCTACCTCTGCATAGGCTGTCCTCCATACTTGGAACGTGCTCCCTTCTCGCCTCTGCCTCTCAGACCGTCACCCTCCCTTCACGCTCAGTTCCCACGCCACCACCTTAAATATGCCTTTCTTGATTCCCCCAGTCCCTACCCCCCCCACCCACCTTTGCACGCTTGTGTTTTACATACAGAGTAGTAGTAATCCTTTTGTAGTATGCAAAACCTAGCAGTATTTTGCATACCAGATTTACTTATCCGTAACCATGTTGTGTAACTCTGGTGAGACTGAAGTTCCTTCTAGCTGCCTTCTGGCCCTCCTTCTCAGTTCTTTGAGGGCAGGGACACTTTCATTTTTGTCTTTGTGTCGTCCCCGCCACCCACGATTGTGCCTGGCATGAATGATACCTGATTGATTGCTAGATGCAACATTCCATACATATTGCACATATAAGTGGCTTCACTCACAAGCCCACACCTGGGGAGGGTTACACACCCTTGGACACATAGACACATTCATAGTGTCACATGTACTTTTTGCCTGTGCGTGTTCCCTGCTCCCTAGCTAGGTGTCTCAGATACCTCAAGGCAAATAGAGGCCTGGCATCTGAGGTAACTGATGGTTCTGCGTTGGTCAGGTCAGTTCTGCTGGCTAATCTGTCCTGGCAGGGGCCTGAGTCACAGAATCACAGAATCTGAGAGTCAGATGTGATCTCAGAAGCCATCTAATCCAACTCACAAAATAAAGGAATCCCTGCTTGAAGACCACCAAGGAGAGGGATTCCCCCACCTCTGAGCCAGCCCACTCCACTCCCAGGCAGCTCTGATTGTGGTCAAGTTTTTCTTGACATCAAGCCTTGAGTGACCCCTTTTCAACCTCTGTCCCCTGCTCCTGGTTCTTCCCTCTGGAGTCAGACAGACCTTGTCCAATCCATCTTCCACATGACAGCCCTTCGGGTATTTAACATAGCTCTCACGTCCTCCCTAAGTCTCCTTCCTCAGGCTGAATATACCCAGTTCAACTGATCTTCCTGTCCCAGGACTCAAGGCCCTTCCCCACGTTTTCCGCTTAGCACTGCCCTTGACTGTGATGCCCAGAACCGAAAGTGTGACTTCAGATATAATCTGATAAAGGCAGAGTACCTCTGTACTCTTAGGTGGTTTACCACCACCTAAGCCCAACATTACATTCTCTTCTTTTGGCTGCCGCATCGCACCGCTGACTCATGTTGCATTTCCAGCCCACTAAAAAACCCTCAGCTCTTTTTTTCAGACAAAACTCTTGTCTAGCCATACCTCTTATCTCCTGTACTTACGAGGTTGATTTTTTTGGTACTCAAGTTAAGGGCCCGTGGATAGAGCCCTGGGCCCGGAGTCAGAAGGACCTGAGTTCAAATCCAGCCTCAGACACTCACTAGCTGTGTGACGCTGGGGAAGTCACTCAACCTTGTTTGTCTCAGTTTCCTCAACTGAAAAATGGGAATCATAATAGAACCTACCTCCCAGAGTTGTTGTTGTAAGGATCAAATGAGATAATATTTGTAAAGCAATAATCCTGTCAAAAGGGACAATTAGCTCTGGCACAAACTGGTTTTTTTTCTTTTGGTGAGGCAGTTGGGGTTAAGTGACTTGCTCAGAGTCACACAGCTAATGAGTGTTATGTGTCTGAGGCCAGATTTGAACTCAGGTCCTCCTGACTCCAGGGCCAGTGCTCTATCCACTGCACCACCTAGCTGCCCCACAAACTGTTCTTAATGGAGTATCGCTGGCCCTCTGTGATCGCTGCTTCCCTTTTTGATGTTCACTAGCCTCCTCTCTAATGATCTGTTCTGGACTTTTCCCTAAAGTTGAAGACGAGCTTACTAGTCTACCATTTTGAGGCTATTCTCTTTGAAAGTCAGGGCAATGTTTGCCTTGCTCCAGTCTAGCAACATCTCTCCCATTTTCCAAGATCTCTCAGATCTTACCGACAGTAACTCAGCAGTCACATCCACCCATTCTTTCTGGGCCCGAGAATATAGTCAGTCCAAGTGACTTGAATTCAGCAAGGGTAGCTAGTGTGTCTCTTACTATTTCCTCCTGTTATTTCCAGAGCAAAGGCCATTCTCCTTGGCAGAGGAAACAGGAGCGAAATGAGAACTGAGCAGCTCTGTCTTCTGTCTGTTGTTAGTTATTATTGTTTCATCTACCCCCAAGCAGCATTTCTATTCCATCTTTGAACCTCACCTTTCCCCAGCATAACCCCAGAAACCCCAAACCTCAAACCTGTTTTTCTGCTTGGCCTTAGCTTGCCTCACCAGCCTTTACTTGTTCTGAGCTCCAGCATTCCCAATACACGTTTTACTGGACTGTGTTGTGCTCCTCTATTTCGGCTGTTACCTGCCTTGGCTCCCACCTTCTGTGTAGATCTTTTTACAAGCTAAGTCCCAGTGTTTAGGGCCCTGGGCTGGCACCAAGTGATACAGACATTCTCTGCTCTTTTCTGCAGGCTACTTTAGCTCAACCGTCAACCCTCAGCTCTATAGCACCCTGGACAAGCTGATGTCTGCTGCCACCCAAAATGGGGCACTGCCTATCTACTTCAGCTCAGTGCATGACATCAAAGTACAGGGCAGAGTGGTGCCCAGAGACCAGCCCCTCATGCTGAAGTCTGTGGAGACGTACCAAGGTATCCGCCGTGCCTGCTGCATGATGGACTCAGGAACCCCCAAGTTCACCATGTACCTACCTCTCTCTCTGCGAGGGACTTTTTACAGCTGGGGATCAGGCTTCCCACAGACATTACTCCAGACATTACAGGGCCCTGTTCTGCTGGATCGACCCTTCATCTGCCCCACTCTCCACTGGAACTCCCTGATCCTCCAACCTGTGTATGAGATTGATGCCATCATGCACAGTGAGTCCCAGGGACCTTTTAGGCTGGGTGGACAATCCTGGAGAAGGGGCACTGAAAAGAAAGTGTGGAGGGTGAAAAATTCCACTCTTGTCCCATGAGCCCTGTGTAATCTGTTGTAGAACTCTAGAATACATTTTAAAAGGAGGAAGCTGAGGCCCAGAGAGAAGTTACCGGCCATGATTACTCAGCTAGTAAGTAGTAGAGGGCATACTGTGTCCCAAACCCATACAGGATGCCTGCTAGTGGGCACCCTCCCTTTCCTTCTAGGGATGGGAATTAGGGGGAATTGTAAGCTCAGTTGGTACAATTTAGATGGGTAGCATTAGGTCTGATCACAACTTTATCATCAATTGCTTTTCTAATTCTGGAACGTGCTTTATGTGGGAGAAGCATTAGCTCCCATCCTAGAATGACAGAGACCTATGAATAGTCTTCCACACTCCAATGATGACACCAAACTGAATGAGCCCCAGCTACACCGTGCTTCCCACCTTCTGCACCCCATTCTCCTTGCCACACAAGTTTGGTCCCAGGAGATCAGCCTCTTTGCCTCTTCCCCAGGCTCCCTAACCACCATGGTGGAAATCCTAGTGTGATCTACTACCGCTCACTTCACTTCTTCCCTCCATTATGGAGGCACATCCCTTGAGAATCTCCCATGGGCAGCACACAATGTAATATCACCTAGAGTGGAGTCAGGGAGGATCTGACCTTTGCTGGTGATTAGGAAAGTTACCCCAACCAGGCCCAGCCTTCACCCTGGGAAAGATAGGGGGGTCTGAATCAGTATCCAAGGGACAGTATGGAATAGCTGGCCGGGTGAGGAATCAGGGTTACTTAGAACACCAGAATCCAAAAGGCTGAGAGAGGTGGGGCTTTCAGTTCAGAATTATATAGCATGCATATATATAGGGGTGTGTGTGTGTGGGTGTGTGTGTGTGTATGTATATATACACATATATACATATATATATATACACTTATATAGCACTTTTAAGGTTTACAAAGCAGTTTATATACATTATGATCTGGGAGGTAGGTGCTACTGACATTACTCCCATTTTACAGATGAGGAAAACAAAGACCCTTGCCCATGGTCACATAGTTGGAAAGTGTTCAAGTTCTTAAAGTATTAGAAGGGCTGACATATCAATCAATCAGTCAATAAACATTTATTAGGGGCCTACTATGTGCCAGGCACTGGATTAAGCACTGGGATACAAAAAGAGGCAAAAGACAGTTCTTGCCCTTAAAGCACTTGCAGTCTAACAGGAATATGGAAACGAATGACCCCAAAGTGAATTCTCTGGTGGTTTTTTTTTTTTTTATGTATTACAGGGCTCATCCACCCTGGAACAGATGTATCTTTCCAATTATTCTTATCTTAAGCCAATCTAAAAACAGCCCATCATTCTTTGCTTTCCCCCTCATTGTTATTAGCATTTAGTCATGTTCAACTCTTCATGACCCCAGTTTGAGGTTTTCTTGGCAAAGACACTGGAGTGGTTTGCCATTTCCTTCTCCAGCTCATTTTATGGATGAGAAAACTGAGGCAAACAGGGTGAAGTGACTTGCCCAGCGTCACACAGCTAGTGTCTGGGTTGACTCCTGGCCCAGAGCTCCATCCACCATGGCCAGATTGCTTCATCACTCCAACCTTAGTTATTTCATCTCTAAGTGGCGAGAGTAATCCTGGCGTTCTCTCCCTCATAGGGCTGTTGTGAAGAAAGAGCTTTGTGAACCACAATGAGTCTGGAAGAGGATCCTGGAGGGATCTCAAATTGGGGGGGTGACCAAGTCACTAGATGTGCCCCTTTCCTCCCCTCCCTGAACCTTCCCTCCTTTTGCCCTCAAGACCTCCCAAAAGTGGTAGAGGGAAGGTGAGTGGAAAGAGAGGAAACAAGGAGATAGATAGCAATGTGGGTGTCTGTTGCAACTAGGGATGTCTGGAAACTGAAAACTCCCTCATTTCCATAAGGTTCTGGACCCTGGGCAGCCCTACCAAGGCAAGACGTGCATAGACGCAGCAGCGTGTCCCAATCCATTCGTGCCCATCTAACTGATCCCTGAGATAAGGAGGAAGCTTGGCCCATATGGCACAGGACATGGGGTTTTGAGTCAGAGGACCTTTGTGCAAAACCAAGGTCTAGTGTTACTCCCTCTAAGACCTAGGGTACCTTTTGGACCTGTTCTCATATCTGTAATATGAGGGCTTTGGAGTAGATGACTTTTAATATTCCTTCCTGTCTTTGGGTAAATGTCTTCCCCTCTGAGGGCCTCAGTTTCCCCTCTGTAAAATGACATGGTGGGACTGACCTGACTTCCAAGACTTCTGAGGACCCTTCTAACTCCTCCATACAATGGCTCAGTGTTTTAGGCCATTTCTTTTGAAAAGAGGGAAAGGGAAAAATGACCTGAGATGCTGGGACTTCCTAGGAAAGGAACTTACTTGGATGGGACCTGGCAGGGATGGGAGAAGATACTTCTTGGGCTTGTTGGCAGAGGGTGGTGTCACCAGGGCCTGGGGGCTGACCCTCACTTCCCTCCACAGTGCGTACAGATATTGTGAAGATCCCGTCTACCCTGGAAGTGGATGTAGAGGACATCACTGCCTCCTCGGAGCATCTTCATCAACAATTCAGCAAACCTTTGCTGCTAAGTGACATCTTGGCCCAGGGTGGGCCCTTCCCAATGCGTGTAGCGATCCTAGAGGTCCCTGATGGCCCCCCTGTCTTTCATAGGTCCCTGAAGAAGGGTCAAGAGCTCATGATTCATGGCCCAGCCTCCCCACCATGGCGGGTACTGGCCTCCAGTAGGAGCCGGAAGACCCCTCGACACTTCCTCATTTCAGGAGCCTACCGGGGCAAATTGAGGCGCCGGCCCCATGAATTCCATACAGCTTTTGACCTCCTGCTTGCCCTGTCACCTGGCTTTCCACTCTATGTGGTGGCCACACAAGACTGGGAGGGTGAGGAGGGTGACTCCACTTCCCCTTCCCTTTTCAGAGGTGACCGATTGGAGGTGTTGGGAAAGGACGAGGGCCCCAATGGGGAGGTTCTGGTCTGTAATCGACTGAGTGATGTGGCTGGGGAGGAGGAAGAAGAAGAACAGAGAGAGGAAAAGGAACAGCTCTTGCTGCCCCTCTACTCCTCTTGTGGTTTTGTGGAAGAGATGAGCGATGGGAAACGCTACAGTCTGGCCAACCTAATAACCCAGATCCCACTGCCCTGTGAGGTCAAGGTCTTGGGCAAGGACCCTTCCCTTTCTGAGGACCCACTGGCCTCCTTACTTGGCCTACGGCTGGAGGAGAAGATCACAGAGCCCTTCCTGACCATCAGTCTATCCACTGACCCCAAAATGTGCTTTGAGATCCCCCCTAGATGGCTAGACCTGACTGTAGTGGTGGTCAGTGAGTCACTGGAGAAGCAAGGAGAGCCATTGTTAACCTGCACAGTGGAAGAACTGACAGATGCCTTCTACTACAAACTTCAGAGCTTGCAATACTGTAGTGCCCAGGCCCCTCCACCCAGGCCCCCCAAAACCAAGCGAAAGTGCAACAGCTCAGCCAAGGTACGTTTCTAAGAGGCCAGTGCTAAGGTATGGACTGGTATGTTGGGGAGAGAGGATGGGCGAAGTGGATAAAATGTGGAAAGTCATAGAACCAGGATGAGAGAGTAAGGTCCCAGAGTCCTCTGTCCTCACTGCCCAAAGGCTGGTATGTTTCATTTCACCCCTTCCCTTAGGATTCTCTGGTCCCCTTAAGAGGGGCATCTGCTTTTTCTGCCATTGGCTCAAGCCCACACCTTTTGTATTCCGCTGATTTTAGGGGTCCCCTACATCCCAGTTCCATTTAACCACATTAGCTTTTATAAAGAAATAGCTGCTTCAAAGACATAGCAATAACAAACATATAAGCATTATCCCCTTGATACCTGTGAGGGGTATAATTCCCCCTACACCACCTCAGTCTCTGGAGAGGGGAGGGGGGTTAGGTTCACATTTTTACTTAATTCCTATATAGCTTGGTCCCACAAGTATTAAGCCTGGGTTTCCTAGGCAATGGAAGCAGGGAGCGATGTGATCAGATTTCTCTGGCAGCAGCGTGAGGACGGGATGGAGAGGGCAGAGACACTAGAGGCAGGCAGACCAGCTTAGAGGCTATTGCAGGCCTCCAGAGGAGAGGCTATGAGAATGTGAAGTAGACTGATGGCACTGGGAAAGGAAAGAAGAGGACAGATGGGGAAAAGAGACTGTTGGAAGGACCTGATAACTGATTGACTGTGGGGACAGAAAGAAGAGTCACAGCATCATAGAGCGACAGCTGAATGGGACCTCAGACACCATCCACTCCCAACCCCTTCTTTTTATTTATTTATTCATTCATTCATTCAGTCAGTCAGTCATTTATTTATTTATTTGTTTGTTTGTTTGTTTCTTTATTTATTTATTTTTGGCTATGCAATGGGGTTAAGTGACTTGCCCGGGGTCACACAGCTAGTAAGTGTTATGTGTCTGAGGCCGGATTTGAACTCAGGTCCTCTTGACTTTAGGGCTAAGGCTCTATCCACTGTGCCACCCAGCAGCGTCCCCCTTCTTTGATAGATGAGGAAACTGAGGTCCAGTGGCGTTGTGCATAGATCGATGTCCCATGGCTACTAAGTGGTAGGGCTGGAATTTGAACTCGGGTCCTCTGGCTAAAGGTCCAGGACATTTCCCACTGTACTGAGTTGCCTCTTGCAGATGTCTCTGAGATTTTGAATGTACATGAGTGGAAGGATAATGGTATCATCAGTGGAAATTTGGAAGGAGGAACAGGGTTGGGGGAGAGAGATGATGAGTTCAGTTTTGAACATGTTGCTTTTGAGCTGTTGGTGGGACATCTGGGTGGGAGTTATCCAGCAGACTGTTTGAAATGGGATATTGGGGGTCAATAATCTGTCAACAAGCCTTTATTAAGCATTTACTATGTGCCAGGCCCTGTCCTAAGCTCAAAGGATACAAAGAAAGACAAAAGACAGGTCCTGCCCTCAAGGAGCTTACAGTCTAACAGGGGAGACAACCTCCGAACAACCATGTACAAACAAGATGCAGACAGGATAAATGAAGGAAGGTGCTAGCGGCAGGAGTGTTCGAGGAAGCCGGCGTGGCTAGGAGATGGAAATGGAGAGAAAGAGCATTCCAGGCACCGAGGACAGCATGGAGACAGGCGATAGGTTGGTCGCCAAGGATTTAATATTTGACCCTAGAAGTAATAGGGAGCCACCGGAGTTTGAGCAGGAGGTGGGTGACATTGTCACCCTATATTTAGTCTTAGGAAAATTGCTTTGGCAGCTGAATGGAAGATGGACTGGGCTGGGGAAGGACTTGAGGAGAGAGGCGATGAGGGCCCAAGCTAGTGTTGTGGTTTTATGAGCGGGAGAAGGGTCAGATACAAGAGACATAGTCAATGTAAAAACGACAAGACCTGACATCACATTGGATCCGTGAGGTGAATGCGAGGGAGGAAGAGAAGGTGAAATAGAGGCTGCGATCCTGGGAGGCCAGCAGGCAGGTGGGTGCCCCTGACAGTTAACAGAGAAGTCAGGAAAAGGGGAGGGTTTCAGGGAAAGATGTGGAGTACATTCAGAGAAGAGTTCAATGCTGGCAATATGCCTTTGGCTGTCCCGGATGCAGAGGTGATAGTTGAGGCCGTGGGAGTAAATGAGATCACCCAAGTAAAGACCAAAACAGAACCTGGGGTGGAGGACCAGGTTTAAGGGGTGGGGTGCAGAGCTGGTGGAGACCAAAAAGGAGCGGCCAAAGACCTAGGGAAAGAATCACGAGACGGCAGGGCCCTGAAATCCGAGGAAGGGCCAGGTATCCAGAAGGATGGGGTGGCCAGCAGGGTCAGATGCCCAGAGGGGTCAAGGAGCATGACCGCTGAAAAAGAAAGGCCTTTGGATTTGGCGACTAGGAGGTCACTAGTGACTTTGGATAAAGCAGTTTCAGAGAAATGATGGGCAGAAGCCAAACCACAGGACACAGAGTGAGTGGGGTGGTAAAGCAGAGGAAGCCAACTTTTTAGGAGTTTGACCGCTAAGCTATCAAGAGAATGAAACTTCTGGGGAACAGCAAGACTGCCTTCCCTAAGGGCTTTCTTCCCGTTTTTTTTCCCTCTTCTCTTCTTCTCTTCTTCCTCCCTCTCCTTTGAGCCTACAGCTCTGAGTATTCAGTAAGAGACCTTGGGGCACAGACTTTAGGAAAACTGGCCCTGACACCAGCCATCTGCCTTGCAACAACCTGTCTCGGGTCATCTCCAACCTCCTGCAACGCCAGCATCTTCCCAGCAGGCAGATACACTTTCCCTTGATTTTCATACTTTTATTAGACTTCATTGCCTGACTTTAATTAATCCCACTCATCTGCTTTTAATTAGGCCTGCTGCCCAGTTTCTTGGGCTGAGGCCAATCTGGGGGCTCTTCTCTCCCACCCACAGCCTAATGAAGCCCCAAAGCCTGAGACAAAGGCCCCAGTGAAGGTGCCTGAACTCCCCGCCAAACACACCAGAGCGTGCTTCTTGCCACAGGCCTCCAAGAGCTGCTCAGAAGTATACGGCAAATCCTCCAAAGTGCGGAAGCCGCTCAGGAAGAGCCCAGGTATGCACCAGCGACCTCCCCTGGGGCCCAACCTCACGGTGTCCTCCCCCCAAGCTGCCTGTTCCTTTCCATGCAGTTCCACCCAGGACTGTTAGGGGGGAGTAGGGGAGTAGGGGAGGTGGGGTCCAGAGCCCCCTGAGCCAGGAATGGAAACGTGGGCCAACATTTAGCTGAAGACTCACCCTCGCTCACTGCCCGAGAGTGTCCTGGACCCCTCTGGCAGTCTAATGAAGACCATGGGCCCCTTCTCAGAATTATGTTTTTAAAAACACAAGGGATTACAAGGAAAACCAATTACAATGAAATGCACTTATCAAGGTAGTTGAGAAAACAAATTCCCAGCCCCCAAGTTAACAATGCCTGCTCTAGAGACTCTCAGACCTGTTCAGGGCGATAGGATGGCCTCTCGGCAAGGCATAGACCCCTATGTCCAATGTAGCCTTCTGCTTTCGGACCAGTCAAAGTACTACCCCCATTTGACAGATAAGGAGCCTGAGGGTTCAGAAGTGAAGTGACTTGGTAGCAGTGAGAGAACCCAAGTTTTGAATACTAGGTCAGTTGATGTCCATCTTGCCCGCTGTTACATGGCACTAGGCTGGGCATGGTATAGAGAATTACTCAGAGAATGGCCCTGCCCTCAGTGAACCAGAACTATTCACAGATAACTCAGTAAAGGCAAATCCACATGGTGAATGAAGTACACGTACAGGATGTCCCCAAAGTCTTATTCCATTGTAAGCTATGAAAACTTAAAATGGCACTAAGGCTTTTGGAAAATTCTGCATATATAATATAAATGTGTTTATACATACATGCATACAGATGTTAGTATACAGTTTGAAGCTACTAAAGCTTAAAATGGTACTAAGGCTTTGGGAACATTATATATAACATATGTATATATATTAATATTTTATATTAATAGTTTTAAGCTATTAATTAAGACTTTGGGGACATATTGTCCACATACACACATATGTACATAGTATACACACCCATATAGGTACATATGTATATGTGGGCGTACACACCCACATATGTATATACATACATACACTCAACAGACAGTTGGGAGTTTGGAGTCAGAAGACGGCTCTGATCTAGGTTCTAACCGTTACTCTATCTAGGACTTTCAGCAAGCCACTTAACCACCCTGGGCCTCAGTGTTCTTATCTGCAAAATGAGGAGGTTAGATTAAATTTCCTTCTAAAGTCCCTTCCAGTGCTAAAGCTTATAAAAATACTGGACAAAGAAAGCATTTAGTGTGGTTTGAGATAAAGCCTAGGAGAAAAGCAATGGGAGCTCTGTCCATAGTGGGAAGGAATTCAATTTTGGGAGTCTTCATTAAGGGACCAAGGTGGGGGGAAGGGGGAAGAGGGAGATTTTTCAGCAGTTGTTTGATAGGAAGGAGATGCCTTAGATGAAGGCATGGAGTGGGTGTGGGGGGCTGAGCCAGAAAGGAGTGGAGGGGGAGACAAGGCAAGGGTGGGATGGGCTGTTAAGGGGCAGAGATGAGGTAGAGGCCATTTCCCTGAAAACCCCAAGCCTTCAGAAATATGCAGTGCCTTGATTATTCACCTTCTTTGGGGCTGGTGCAGAGAAGAGAGAATCTGATGATTCTGACCATGACTACGAGGATCCTGATGAAGAGCTCAAACAAACCATCAAGATGATGGCAGAGACCATACTTCCCTACTGTGACCATGACTATGAGTACGTGGGTGACTTTAGTTGAAGCCGACCTTTCAGGTGATGGAGGGGACTAGGCTTCCCTACAAGGACCAAGAGAGGAAGTACTCCACCCAAGGGCAACTCCGCCAGCTTCCCGCTGTTCCTCGGCATCCAGCTCGGAACCAGCATGGGGGTGGTGTGGAGGGACAGTTCCTGACTCAGAGATCTAGACCCTCCACACCACTGTCCTCCGGTCACCTTCGTGCTCCCGTGCTCCTGAGCTCCAGCTCCCGCCCTGGGCTTCTCATTGATGAAGGCTCACTCTATCTAGTCCAGCCCAGAACCACACTGCCGTTGCCCTCTTGGAATCTTCATGCCATGTTGTCCTTGGTGTACCCCACATCCTTTCCAAGTCTTGTTCTGGGAACAGTAATTAAATCATCACTCCCATTCCTAAACAAGGGTGTGTCGATCAAAGGTCCTTTGATTTCACCCACCGTCCCTGTGGTCGAAACAGCCAAACCAAAACACATTTCCCTGCCCATCACTCCCATGTGTATATTGTCTTCCCCCGTTAGAGTGAAAGGTCTTTCCAGAAACAGAACAATTTATGCAATAACAACAACACTGTAAAGACACAGAACTTTGAAAAACTTGAGAACTCACAGCAATGAAGTGGCCAGCCACCAGTCCAAGGGACTCTTGATGGAGTGGGAGGTGATCCCCTCAGAGTGGTGCAGAATAAGACAAATTTGCTTTGGACATCGCCAGTACAAGAATTTGCTTTGCTTGACTGTGCATATTTGTTACCAGAGTTTTGCTTTTCTTTTTTCTTCTCCAATGTGGGAAAGTGGGAAGAGAAGAATAAATTTTTGTTAAGTGAAAAAAATTTAAATAAAAAATGAATAGAAACTCTTTGAAGGTAGGGATTACCTTGCTTTTTGTATTTGTATCCCCAGTGCTTAGCATAGGACTTGGGAAATATTTAATCAAAATAAAAAATAATTTGAAAAATAAAAAGAGGAGGGAAAGAGGGGAATAAAAGGGAGGATACATTTAAAGAGGGTCTTAAGTATTTTAAGTGTCTGAAGTATAACAACTTTAAGGAGGGTGGATTTTGAAGAAGGGCTTAAAAGAAAAAATGAAAGTACATGAGCCTGTTATTTGTCTCTAGATGATAGAAAGTGGGGAAAGGAAACAAAAGCAGATTACACCAAAGCTGGACCTGTGGTTCTGAATTCACTCTTCTCTCTCACTGCCTTGTTTAAAAAAAAAAGAAAAAGGGAAAAAAAGGAGTAGGAAACAAAGATTAGGGAAAGTATGGGGGAATAAAATGGAGAGAAATACACAATTACAATCATAACTGTTAATATTAATAGGATCCACTCACCTCTAAGACTGAATACAATAGCAGAACATATCAGAAAGCATACTCTTATAATATAGGTTGTCCCAAAAGTCTTAGTGCAGTTTCAAGCTATTAAAATTATTGAAGTCTAAAACTGCACTAAGACTTTTGGGATGCTCTATATATTGGTTACAAGGAACACATCTGAAACAGAAAGATGCATGCAGAGGCAAAACATACTATGCTTTAGCTTGAGTAAAAAAGGTCGTACTAGAAATTATGATCTCAAACAAAACAAAGCAAAAAAAGAGACCTAACTAAAAATGATAAATAGGAAAACTATTTTGCTGAAAAGTACCATAGACAATGAATAAATAAAAATTCTACATATATATGCATGATTTCAAATGGCACATCATGTAAATACCTAAGGGGAAAGTTAAATGAGTTTCAGGGGAAAATATTGACAGTAAAGCCATAATACTATTGTTATAGCTTTATAATAATAATGATGATGATGATGGCTCAATTTAGCTTTATGAGATCTGGATAAATCTAACCAAAAAAAGATAAGAATCTAAATAGATTCTGGAAAAGTTAGATGTGATAGATCTCTGAAGATCACTGAATGGGAATAAAAAGGAATATCCATGTTATTCAGCTGTGTATGATACCTTAAAAATTGACACTGTAGTAGGGCATAAAAACCTCAAAACAAATAGAGAAAAGTAAAATTATTCAGCATACATTTTATGGACCATAATGCAATAAATCTATATTCAATAGACAGTATCTGGAGAAATGATTACAATTAATTGGAGACTAAATAACTTAATCCTAAAGAATGGGTGTATAAAATAACAAATCACAGAAATAATATATAATTTCATTAAAAATAATAACAATGAAACAATATACCAAAATTTTGTGAATGCAACCAAAGCAGTCCTTGAGGGAAAACACATCTTTAAACACTTGAGGGAGAGAGAGAGAGAGAGCAGATCCATAAATTGAGCATGCAACTAAAAAAACCCGGGAAACCTATAAATTTTAAAAAGAATTTCTACTACATAGAAACCCTCAGAATCAAAGAAAAGATTTACAAAATTAAAAGAAAAAAATGAGTTAATAAAACTAGGACTTGTTTTTTTGAAAACAGTTAAATCATTAGCTAACTTGATTAAATACACACACACACACACACACACACACACACACACACACACACATACACACACAATTACCAGTATCAAAATTTTTTAGGTGAACTCACTACCAGTGAAGTAACAAAAAAAAAAAATTATGAACTATTTTACCCAGTTAAATGCTAATAAAACTGACAATCTAAATGAAATAGATGAATATTTATAAAAACATAAATTGCCCAGATTAAACAGAACAAGAAATTCCATATAAAAAACTATATTGGCTATATGCCAAGACACAATAATTACATCAACATAGCTACAAAACACTCTTTACCCAAATACAGACATCTAAATAATTGAGGAAATATTAATTGCTCATGATTAGGCCAATCCAATATAATAATACTAGTATACTACTTAAATTAATATGCTCATTCAGTGCCATGCCAATCAAACTACCAAAGGGTTACTTTATAGAGCTAGAAAAAATAATGACAAAATTCATTTGGAGGAACAAAAGGTCAAGAATATCAAGGAAAATAATGGGGGAAAAAAGTGGGAATAAAGGGAGCCTGAAAGTACTAGATGTCAGTTATATTACAAATTAGTAAACATTGAAACAATTTGATATTAGTTAAGAAATAGAGGTTGATTAGTGGAGCAGATTAGGTGCACAATATACAAAATAAATGAGTACAGTAGCCTAGTGTTTGATAAACGTCCAAATCCCAGCTACTACGAAAAGAACTCACTTTTTGACCCCAAAGAAAAACAAAAACCTGTTAGGATAGCATTCTGGCAAAAACTAGGTATAGCCCAACATCTCACACTCTATACCAAGATAAGTTCCAAATGGGTACATGGCTTAGACATAAAGGGTGACATTACAAACAACTTAGAGGAGCAAGAAAGAAAATACCTGTCAGGGGCAGCTAGGTGGCGCAGTGGATAGAGCATTGGCCTTGAAGTCAAGACAACCTGAGTTCAAATCCGATCTCAGACCAAACACTTGACATGTACTAGCTGTGTGACCCTGGGCAAGTCACTTAACCCTGATTGCCCCCCAAAATAAAAAATAAATTTTAAAAATTTTAAAAATAAACGACCTGTCAGATCTATGAACAGGGGAAGAATGCACGCCCAAATGAGATAAAAAGGTCCACAGAAGGCAAAATGGACAGTTTTAATTACATCAATTTCAAAAGATTTTGTAAACAAAGCCAATGCAGCATAATAAAATCAGAAGTGAAGCAGGCAGATGGCAAACTAGACATTCTCTCCAATTGCCATGAGCTCTCAAACCTCTCCAAAACAGAAATTATGTGACAAAGACAAAGTAACTTCGACTGTCTCTAAGGTCTAGGACACCAGAATCCATAAGAAAGTAAAAAACAAGGGGCAGCTGGGTGGCGCACTAGAATGCTCTGGGGTCAGGAGGACCTGAGTTCAAATCCGGCCTCAGACACAGGACACTTACTAGCCGTGTGACCCTGAGCAAGTCACCTAACCCTGATTGCCTCACTAAAAAGCAAAAGCAAAAAAAAAAAAAGTAAAAAACAAAAACCTAGAAGCTGATGCTCACTAACTCTGAGGTCACTTGAGAGCTTTCTAGGCAGATGTAGTGAAAGAAAAAAATCAATAAGAGAGCATATAAATCAGTGGTGGGCTGCATAATCAGGGATGTGATGGGAAAGGGGCCCTACCATGGGACAGTGTCCTCTCTGACATCTACAATCATTGGCATTGTTCTGGAAATTAGACACAGTGGAAAATTGAAATCCACAGGGTAAGCCCTACATACAAGGCAGTTGCAGAAAGTCCCTATAGGAGAAAGCCTAGAATGGGTACCTTGGAATCTTTTTTTTTTCTTTTTGTATTTTATTTTATTTTATTTTTTTAATTTTTTTTCTATATGCTTTTGAGTTGAAAATTTTTTCTCCCTTTTTCTCCCCCCACCCTCCCCAAGACGGCGCACAATCTGACATAGGCTTTACATTTACATACCCATTAAACATATTTTCACATTAGTGAAGTTGTAAGTAAAAATTAAAACCAATAGGAGGAACCATCAGAAAGATGAAACAAAACTCAACAGAAGGTAAAAATAAGTGAGAGCGATTCAACTTCCATAGTTCTTTCTTTGGATGTGGACAGCATTTTCCATCCCGAGGCCTCTGGAGATGTCTTAGATCCTCGTAATGCTGAGAAGGGTTCAGTTTAACATTCTTAGTCATTGCATAACATGGCTGCTATTGTGTACAAAGTCCTCTTGGTTCTGCTCACTTCACTCAGCATCAGACCATATAAGTCTTCCCAGGTTTTTCTGAAGTCAGCCTGTTCATCATTTCTTATAGCACAATAGCATTCCATTACATTCATATACCACAACTTGCTCAGCCATTCCCCAATGGATGGGCATCCTCTCAATTTCCAATTCTTTGCCACCACAAAAAGAGCTGCTATGAATATTTTTGTACATGTGGGTCCTTTTCCCATTTGTTTGATATCTTTGGGATATAGCCCTAGGAGTGCCATTGCTGGATCAAAGGGTATGCACATTTTTGTAGCCCTTTGGGGCATACCTTGGAATCTTTAATCACATGAAAAATGCAGAGAAAAGAGAGAGACCAAATAATTATAGGAATCATGAATCAGAGAATGAGGGTCTAGGAGTAAACACAAAGAAAAATGAACAAAGAGAGTGAGAGAAATCCTTTTTGGAAAGGGGCATGTTATATAAAATATAAAATTTGAGAAGGGAGAGAACATTACTTACTTGTTCGTCTGTTGTTTTCAAAGAGGACTGAGATCACAGGGATGATGTCTTGACTTGCGTAAGAACTGGATTTATGAACACTAATCACTAGATGGGTAAGGAAAGGCTTCCAATGGATGGCGACACATGAACTGAATGAATCTGGAAGGAAGCCTGAGTTTCCAAGGGGTGGAGATGAGAATGGAGTGCATTCCCACAGATGGGGGTAGATGGGATTTAGAGTGCTCAGTACCTCTCAGCAGCTCATTTTTATGGTTTAATCAGCATTGCATCATGCCCAAGACAACTCAATCCCTTCCCCTTGCTAGCAAAGGAGGCAAAAAGGTCACTGTTGGCAACTGGGTCTTTGTGGCAAACTTTGACCCTAGGTTGGCTTCTGCCTGCCAATGCTAAGGAAAGCAAATTCGTTAGGATATTAGGCCAGGCACAGACAGAATTAGGAAGATGAACCTGCCAAAGCACATACAAAAGAGTTTGTATTCTTAGTGGTTGGTGTATCTGTGCCCAGGCTCCCTTTCCTTTAAATGAAAACTGGTACTGATTGATTGGAAGTCACAAAATTTGGATCCTGGTAGTCTGATGGGGACCTTAGGCAAGAGGGATTCTGTTTCCTTATCTGCATGCAAAATGAAGTTGAATGATATTGTCACTGAGGACCCTTGCAACTCTAACATCTGTGGATCCAAAAAGAAGCAAGATTTGATTATTTTTAGAATTAGAGAATGTGTGGGTCTGACAAGGTCACAGGCCAGTGAACAAGTTTATTTACTTCTGACCGGGTTACAAACCACAATGCTTAGCACACTGGTGATTGGTTAGTGATTTAGAAATGCGGGCAACCATTCGGGTAATATCTGCACACACAGATCTCCTTTACTGTGTGATGAAGGGGACCTTTCGTTTAAGTTTTACATCACTTCAGATTCTCAGAGCTGACAAAACTAACTTTCCCCTCCAAGAGGCATGAGTCCTGCTACATATAGAGCAACACAGAGGAATTGGGGCCGAGCCCTTCCTCCGAGGCCCCCAAATGAGCATCATCTCAGGGCAAATTTATTCAGTATTCCCTCCCTTCCTCTTTCTCTATTCCTCCCATCTCTCTATCGTCACTATCTCCATTGATTTCAATAGCCTCACAGAATTTAGACCCAGAACGGTCCTTAAGGCCATTTTGTTCCCCATCATCCCTAACCCCCAAATTAAGAGAAATTCCTGCTTCCCATTTCTCCCCTTTCAGTCTGCGTTGTACACTGTTACACAATCTTCCTCCTACACAGTTCCGAGCAGTGCAGTCCCGTGCATCCAGGAATAAAGGTGTCCAACTGAAGATCCCAGCACGGGCTGAGTCACTGCCTCTTTGTACCTCATCTATTCTATGAGGATAGTACCTGCACTGCCTCTTTCATTAGGCACTTTGCAAACCTTACAACTCCACAGAAATTAAGAAAAACAAAAAACCTTCCTATTTGCCTGTAGAATAAAGTCCAAAGTCTGTGACTGGCTATCCAGGGGACTCTACAGTTTGGCTCTGATCTCCCCTCCCAGCCTCATCTTCACTACCCCCCACCCCTCACATGCCACACTCCCTGCCCACACTGTTCCTGACATGCCACAATCTCCTACTTTGGAGTCCTGTTCTCCTCGACTGGAAATGCCCATTCCCTAATCTTTTTTTTTTTTTTTTGGTGAGGCAATTGAAGTTAAGTGACTTGCCCAGGGTCACACAGCTAGTGAGTATTAAATGTCTGAGGCCGGATTTGAACTCAGGTCCTCCTGACTCCATGGCAGGTGCTCTATCCACTGAGCAACCTAGCCACCCCCCCCTTTTCCCCCCGCTCCTTAATCTCAATATCAGAGCCCAACCAGCTGAGATGCTGCCTCCTCCTCTAGGCACACTGATCATTCTCAGTTAGAAGCTATGGCCTAAGTGCTTTCTGTTTCTATAGAACCTCCAGGCTTTGTATACGCATGCATCTGTGGGCAGCAAAGTGGTGGGAAATACTACATTTGGAGCCAGAGGTCCTAGACTCAAATCCAACCTCTGAGGCTTCCTACCTGTGGGACCACAGGCAAGTTACAACCTCTCTTGGTTTCAGTTGTGAACAAAGCAGGTTGGGCTAAATGGTCTGAGGCCCCATTCCAGATCTATGATCCTATGATCTAGGACAGTATTTCCTAGCTAGATGCTCATGGAACACGAAATTGTCACGATGTGAACCAGTGTTATTAATTTTGAAAACTAGTGATATTTTCCCTTCTAAAACAGATCACAAAATTATGTACCAGAAATACTTGGGAGGCATTTGGAGCTGGGGTGGTAACAAAAATACGCTTAATACTAGTCATCTCAAATTTGCCCCTTTTCTTTCCTGCCTTTACCTCAGAGGGTGTATATCCATACTCCTAGCACATAAGGATTCTACCAATATTTTTCAAGCCCCAAAATATCCTGTAGCCAAATTAATATTGGTAAGACATCTGGAAAATGGTGATCTCAAGAAGAGGTGTCAAACATTGGCCTACAGTGGCCTGCAGCACTCTGGAATATGCTAAAACAGATTAAAATGTAATTGGAAAATATTTCTAAAAGCACAGTAGAACAGAGGTAATGTTCTAGTTTCCTAAGTCAACATGTGACCCTCAGACATCCTTACGTACAGTTTCATGGCCCCATTTCTGAGTGTGGCAACATTGTTCTAGAGAAACAGAATCTGTAAAGTTTAATGGTGGCACGACTGGTTCTGCTAAGTGACAGTTAAAGGGGCAGAGACTGGAAAGTCACTTGCTACTAAGGACCAGTATGAAGCCAGGACCAATGTGGCGCCTCTGTAGTCTACACCAGAGGAGTCAAACTGACTCCCTAGTGCTGCATGGGAAGCAGATTAAAATGATTAACAACATAAATTAAAACACAAAAAGACATCATGTTAATTGTGGTTTTCTAAGTCAAAATGCTTAGAAAAGGAAATGGTAAACTACTCCAGTATCTTTGCCACGAAAACCCCAAATAGGGTCACAAGTCAACACATGGCTGCAGGAATCTGTTTCTATGTGAGTTTGACACCATGCATCTATGCCATTAGAACCACACGACATACTAAATATGGAGCCCAGGATTTAAACATCGAAGTCTTAACTGTCACATTCTGTCAAGGAATCAAGTGTCCAACACCTACTCTACCTTGGTCCACACAGGAGTAATTAAAGCACTTTAGAAAGTCCTGTGTTTACAAAAATATTCATAGTAGTACTTTATGTAGTAGTAAAAAAAAAAAAAGAAAAGTTAGGTTCATTGACTGGAAAATGGTTGAACAAAATGTGGCATGTGAATGTAATATTATTGCACCTTTCTTAGGAAAGGATGGAAGTGAGTAACTCAGAGAAACAGGGAAGGCAGCATCAGAACACACAGGACTCTAATGAGACAACTGAAGACAACATCAGAAGACAACTGAGCTCCAGCCAAAGGCAATGATCAAGATTGATTTCAGATGACTAGTGCTGAAACGTATCAAGCCCATAGGTGAAGAAAGTATATACACTAAGATTAAAAACAGCAAGGAAAAACGTGGCATACACCAAAATATTCACAGCAACACTTTCTGTGGTGGGTGAGAACCAGAAACAAAATTAATGTACATCAATTAGGGGAGTGGATGAACAAATTTTGCCCTGTGAATGTAACGGAATATTACTGTGCTGTAAGAAACAATGAAGGAGGAATTGAGAGAATTATAGGAAGATCTATATGAACCAGAGTAATGTATAAAACAAGACTGCAATGTAGATGAAATCACAAGAAAAGGAAGAAAACCTCTTGACTAACTGAAAAAAAAAAAACCAGTAAGAGAGCTGGAGAATGGATAATAAAATAAGACCCAAGGCCACATAGCCCTTTAGGCCCTCAAATGCAGCCCTTTGAGTGAATCTAAACTCCACAGAACAAATCCTTTTGTTTTGTAAAATCTGGACTCAGTCAAAAGGCCACACCCAAGATCTCGAAGGCCACATGTGGCCTCAAGGCCGCGGGTTCACCACTCTTGGTAGACCACTCTTCTCAGCAGAGGTGGGGGGACTGGAAAGGTAGAATGCTGCACACAAACACCCTGGTGCTGGCCCACAGTGCCTCTAGCTTGGATTACTACAGAGGCCTGCTGGTGGGCCTGCCTGCCTCAAGTTCTCCCCACTCAGCTGTCAAATAGATCTTTAGCTAGAGAGCCCATCAACCCTGCCTTGATCTAGTGGGCTCCACTGGCTTCCTATCACCCCAGGGCCAAAGGTGAAATCCTGCTGATTATTCAAGGCCTTTCATAGCCTGGCCCGTTCCCTTTCTCATCTTGTTAAATCTTGCTCAACGTTCAAGTGCTCTGTGATTCAGTGCCCCGGCTCCATTTGCTCACTCCAGGCATTGTCACTCGCAGTCTCTCCTGCCTGGAACGCTCTTCCTAATCTGCCCCCAGGCTTCCTTCAAGTCCTAGCTAAGATCTCACCTTCCAAAGGAAGCCTTCCACAACGATCCCCCTCAATGCTAGTACTTCCTCTCCAGTGACTGTCTCCAATCGATCCTGTCTACATCCTGTTCGTAAACTGCATGATTCTCCTCCATCAGCCTGAGCTCCCCGACAACGGGGACTGTCTTTTACTTTTCTTTATATCCCCAATGCTGAGCACAGTGACTGGCACATAGTAGGCACTTTAGTAAATATCTGTTGACTGTCCAATGCATCACCAAACTAGCTGTTTTTACATGGCTATTTTTCTTTGTTAGAAGAGAGTGCAATATAGCTGTGTGACCCTGGGAAAGTCTAGAAATGAGTGGGATGTAAAAACAAAAGACACTGATAGAACTTACTTTAAAAAAGTCAAATCTCCGACCCTAATGTTAATGTTTTGGTGAGGTAATGAAACAGGAACACTTCAAGAACATTAACCAGAGATCAGGACGTGTTTATTTTGCACTCTACCTAATGATCTTCCCTTACGTTCTTCAGCGTCATGCTGTATTGCTATGATAGGCACACACACACACCTGTCCAGTCACCCCTGGCGCCTGGTCTGGAAGCATCCTGGAAGCCACCGCCCCAAAACGAGGCCTCGCTGGCTGGCCCCAGGACACCCAGGCCTGCCCACTTTTTCCGGAGGGAGGGAAGCGTTAAGACCCAAGTTTTCAAACCCTCTTTTATATAATATTTTCCCCTGACTCCTCTTGTGCCTCCCTCCACCAAGTCCAAACATCCCTGTGAGTTTTTGCTGGTTGACTGGTAAGTATGCTTGGTATCAGCTGGAGCATCAGAAGGAGAAGGGGAGCGGAAGGAGATGAGGCGCAGAAACTTTGAGGAGGCATGAGAGTGTCTGCGGAAAACCTTGTCAGTCACTAGATCAAATCGACACACGGTGAGAGTTGAGGCTCTTGTGAAAACAAAACTAGCTGTTGAGTTACTCCGCATCTGTGGATTTGAAGTGGTCGTCATCCACGGTGGAATAGATGTGTCCCTCATTGCTGAGAAAATCAACAGCTTGCCTGGAGAAGAGAGAGAACACAAGTTCAGCTCGTTTCAGACAAGCAGTTTGTAAAGACACAGAAGTTGGCCAGAGGCTCCCCGACTTCCTGCCAACACAGACAACAGCTTGGTCACCCTGTTTGCACAAGGCAGAGGAAAAGGCAGACTTGAGCACAGGTCTCTCATGGGGCAGGGGAAAGGCCATGAAAGCCCTGTGGCTGACCAGAGTCTGTGGCCACAGGAGGATAGAAGAGGAGCGCCAAGCAATGTGGCGCAGTGAGAGAAGCTGGAGTATGGGGCAGGGTTCAGGCCTGGCCTCCACCACTGACCAGCTGTGACTCTAGTTTGTGATACTTCCTTCCCCTCCTTGGCTTCAGTTTGCTCGTCTTTTAACCTATTTGTGAGAGCAGCCCTCGGTGAAAGCGCTGTAGGACTAGCAGAGAGAAGTTCATTTCCTGTAGCTCCTGAGGGGCAGGGTAAGAGCCCCAGGCAGTCTCCCTGTTCTTCCCTCCCCTCCCAGGGCCTCATCTCAAGCCTCTGAACCAAACTCTCCTGGGGCTGGGAGCTACCCTGTGACAGCTCTGGCTAGAGGAGGTGCTCACGTAAGCCTCCTCCAAAGGCCTCGGCAGTTCACGTCACCCTCTGTGAGGTTAGTACGCGTGTTCTGGAGGCCTGGCTGGAGGGCAGCCAGTGCACTTACTTGATTACAGACACATTCAGGTTGTGGAGCTGAGACTTGAGATCCTGAAAGTTCATGCCTTCTGGCCTTGGGCAAGCTTTAATCAAATTCAGCACCTGTGGGGAGAGCCATCAAAATGTGACTAACTGATAGAAAATCCACTACAAACACACCACTAGAAAAACTCAGAAGAGAAATCGGGTAAGCCAGATGGAAACCCTGGTGTGACAACATGACAAAACACTTAAAAGTGCTGAGTGCGTGCACCCCGTGCTGGGTGTGACACACAGGACACCAGACAGCCTTGGGCAAGCCACACGTTGTCATTCTGAGTGCCCAGAAATCTGTGTGACAGGGTCAAAGGAGATGGAGTGGGGCTGGGGGTGGGGACTGAGGAGGGGAGCTTCCCCCAGGAGCTAGCCTGGAGAGAGGCAGGGCAGGCCGATGCAGTGAGCAAAGGGCACAGCAGTCTGATGCTGCCCAGGGTGGTAGGGGTGGAAGTGAGCAGTCACCCGGAGTTCACAGGACTTGGAGGGGAGAGCTGCAAGTAACCCTGGCGACCATCTAGTCCAAATCCCCGCCATGACCCACCTGACCAGGGGTTCTCCAGCCTCCGCCTGGAGACCTCCAAGAAAGAACCTTCACGTTCTGGAGCAGCCCACTCCACGCGGGGACAGCTCTAGATAACAAGCTTTTCCTGATGTGAAGCCTAAAGCCAGCCCCTGCCAACTTCCCCCACTGCCCCTGGTTCTTCTGTCTGAGGCCAGAGAACAAGTGTGATCCCCTTCCACGTGAAGGCCCTGGCGCTCATGTCCCCTCTGCTCCCAGGCCAGACCTGCTCAGCATCAGGCAGGACCAAAAGCCCTTCACCGCCCTGGCTGTCCTCTGGACACCCTGCAACTCTTCAGGGCTCCTCTTAAGCCGCAGGGTCTGACCAGGGCGGAGGAGAGTGGGACCACCACCTCCCCACTCCTGGGAGCCCAGGAGTTCATACCAAGCTGGGAGTCCCCCAACTCCCTAAACATTTCTCAGACAAGCTGCAAACCACCCCTTGAATTTGCAAAGTCGCAAATAATGGCAGGAAATAAAAGCTGAAAGTAAGAATGGAATCAGGCTGAGAAGAGGGGAGTGTGACCGTCAGGCAAGGTGAACTTTTCTCTTAAGGTCACGGAAAGTTGCTTGGGATCTTTGTGAGATATGAGCAGAACCACCTGTGGAAAAGATTATCCTGGGAGCAGTGTGAAGAATGGAGGGATGAGGGAGAGGAGAGGGGTGGGGAGACCAGGAACGAGGTTACTGCATCAGGGCCATGCCTGTGGAATAGAGAAGAGGGAAAGACCAGAGACATGCTGTAGGGATGCAGCTGACAGCACCTGCTTGTGCAACACACACAGTGACTACAACAACATAGATGGAAAGAACACCACCCAACTGATCACTGAACCACTGTCATGACCGTGCATGGTGCAAAGAGGAGAGATGAGAATGAAGCCCCCTCCCTTCCAGGTGGGGTAAAGGTCCGTGGGCGTGCAGCACCACGGAATCTATTAAGACTCGGTGGATGCGAGGGTTCGTTTTGCTGAACTGCTTCCTCCCTTTGTCTCTGTTTTATTTTAAGGGAGGGTGGTCTGGGAAGAAGAGGTAGGAGGGACATTCTGGGAAATGAAAGTTGTATAAAAAACAAAAGACATTAATGAATTAAAAAACAAAACCATAAACTCCTCATGATGAACAAAGGAGCCCACTCAAATGGCAGTGCCATCAAGCGAAGGAATGAATTCAGAAGAGCGAGCAGGGGTGGGGGAATATCTGGGCCATGCTGACAGTGATGTTCCGCAATCCTGGGGCAAGCCCTCATCAGCTTGGGGGGGGGGGGGGCGGGAAGAGCTTATCCAGCACCAAGTACCCACAGGCCTGAAACACTGAGTGACAGTGGGCAGAGCAGGGCCAGGAGCTCCAGGGCGGCACTGGGGTCAAGGGTGAGTCTGTAAGTACAAGCAGAATGGAGGAGGTGGAACCGAAGTGAGGGATGGTCCAGGGACCACAGATTATAAGAGACAAATCAGCTTGGTGCTAGGGAGAGCAGGAGCAAGAGGAGGCTCGGGCAAGGGAGAGGAGAGTCCCAAATATGAGAGATGGCGCAATCAAAAGAAGTGTAAGAAGCGACCAAGCCACAGTGGGGCTGAAGTTCAGCAGGAGATGAGGAGTGGGAGATCTGGGGTTCTGGCTGTCAAAAGGGTCATCAATACAGACACTGAAATCCCTAAGAATGGTAACTTGATACTGACAGCCAGAAGGTTCTGTAACAATGGCACCTCGAAGCATCTATCGAGGAATCCCATAGGATTTTCACATGTGAATGGGAGACATTGCTGGAGGAGAGGCTCCAAGGCTGCATTTTGATTTAGCAAATTTTAAAAATTAAAGAATAAATACAATGGAATCCTGCATTCTCCCTTCCAAAAAATGATACTAGTAAAGAAGGTAGGGAAGGATTAACTCACTGAAAAACAGGAAAGTAGGGGCAGCTAGGTTCTGCAGTGGACAGAACACTGGCCCTGGAGTCAGGAGGACCTGAGTTCAAATCCAGCCTTAGACGCTTACTAGCTGTGTGACCCTGAGTGAAGTCACTTAACCATGACTGCCTCCAAAAAAAAAAAATACAAAAAGAAAAAGAAAGAAAGAAAAATATGGGAGAAATAGCAGCACATGCATGACATTAGAATATCATAATTAGTGGGCACATAAGCCAGGGTAGTGGTGCTTTCACACACATGAGGCTTACCTGGTTCTGGGTTACGGTGAGGCCATTTGCTGGCATAAGACTATGCCCACCAAAGCTGTTTCCCCCAAAGCTTCCTGGATCCCCTATTCCAGAAGTGCTGAGGGAAGGTCTTCCTGCCAAAGGCTAAAGAAAAAAAGGGACACATTAAGGTACTAGGTTGGGAGTCAGGAGACAAGTTCTAATCCAGCTCTGCCACCAGCCTCACAGGGTGGCATTCCACTCTCTGGACCCAAGTTCTCTCCCCTAAGGTCAAATTGCAGGGCCTTTGGAAGGCCCTTCAGAAATGGGAAAGAACAATTCTCACCTATTCTTTTGTTTTAAGATGTGTGACATCAGTTGAGGTCAGTGCTTCATGATGCTGGGCAGGGTGTTCAGAGTAATAAGCAGAGAGAAAGAACAAGAGGCAAGATTTTTTTTTCAGTTTAGGTTTTTAAGATAGAAGGGCCTTTGCTAGTAAAAATTAGACAAAGTGGGGAAAATCTGCCACAAACAGCTGTGAAACCCTGGACACGATGATCTCCAAGGCAGGGCTAGTTTGAAAGGGATATGGTGGGGTGGGGAGTGCGCAGAGGGGCAGCTAGGTGGCAGTGGATAGAGCTCTGGCCTTGGAGTCAGGAAGACTTGAGTTCAAATCCGGCCTCAGACACTTGACACCTACTAGCTGTGTGACCCTGGGCCAAGTCCCTTAACCCCAACTGCCTCACTAAAAAGAAAAAAAAAAGGACATGGGAGGGCTTAGAAGACTGTAAGCCCAGTGTGAGCCAAGAGCAGGAGAGCCAGGAAAAGCTTGGGATACATTAAGGAAGGCGTTGTTGCCAGGACTAGGACTCTCTGCTGAGCTCAGAATATTTCTTAGAAGACATCTCTGGTGTGAGGTACCACATTTTAATGAGGCCATGGATCAGCTGGAGGAATAGGCAGGAAACGGGGTGGGGTGGAGTGGGGCACAAGAGGAGAGGAGAGTACAGTGGTCTTCAAATGCTTGAAAGACTGGAAGACAGGAGACTTACTCTGCTTGGCCCTAAAGATCAGAATTAGCAGGAAGAGGTAAAAATTACAAAGAAGCAAATCTAGGCTTGGGGTGATGAGTAATTCCCAGAGCTACACACAAGTGAAGGGGTTCTTTCTCAGTGGAAGTCTTCAAGAAGAAACTGGATGACCAGTTGTGTATGCTGTCAAATTAAAGAATCATGGAATCTGAGAATTGGAAGGGATCTCACTGTCCATTTAGTCCAACCCATGTTAGAGAAATTTCCACTGTATGAGACTCAACAATGGTCTTCCAGACTTCCCGGGAAGCCACCACCTCCAACTCGGCCCACCCCTCTTCTGGGCTGCTCTAACTGGTGGGAAGTCATCCCTGACGCCCAGCCCAAATTGGCTTTTGGTCCCTTCCACCCCACCCCGCAAAGTCTAGCCCTTCTCCACGTGCCAGCCTTCCAAACACTCTGACAGCCCCCTGAGCCCTCTTGTCTCCAGGCTAAACACCCCCTCCTTCACATCACCACTTGGGCTGCTCTCTTCTGGCCACTCTTCAGCTTATGGACAGCTTAGCCCCCAGAACTGAACACAGTACTCCAGACAGAGCCTGACACTGGCAGAGGACAGGGGACCGTCACCACCCTACTCTTGGAAACAACACCCTGACTTACACAGTCCTAGAATGTACTACCTTTCCTGGCTGCCACAGCTGACTCGTATCTAGCTTGCAGTCCACTAAAACTTCCAGATCGTTTTCAGAACTACTCCCTAATCATGCCTCCCGGCCTTATACTGGTGAAGCTGATTTTTTGTACCCAATAGCTTAGATCTTTGGGTTTATCAAACATTATTTAGTTCAGCATATCGCACACCTAGTCTATTCCACTGATCAACCTATTTCTCATCCAATACCAGATTATTTTGTTGAAGTATAGTTTGAGATCTAATACTGCTAAGCTACTTTTTTTTTCATTGATTCCCTCAATATTCTTGACTTTTTTCTCCTCCAGATGAATTTTCTTATTTTTTCTAGCTCTATAAAGTAACTCTGGTATTTTCATTGGTATGACACTGAATTAACTAATTTAGAGAGTGCTGTCATTTCTATATTGGCTCAACCTGTCCGTGAGCAATCGGTACTTCTCCAACTGTTTAAATCTGTCTTTACTTCTGTGAAAACTGTTTTGTAATTGTGTTCAGAGAGTTCTTGTGCGTCTTGGCAAGTTGGCTCCCAAGTATTTTACACTGTCCGCAGTTACTTTAAATGGGACTGTTCTTTCCATCTCTTGGAGCTAAATTTTGTCAATAACATGCTGAGGATTTGTGTGGGTCTACTTTATATCCTGCAATTCTGGACAGCTGTTCATTGTTAACCAGACTTTTAATTGATTCTCTTGGGTTGTCTAAGGATACTATCATGCCCTCTGCACAAAGCTGCTTCAATTTCTTTTTCTCGTCTTGTTGCTATAGCTAGCATTCCTAGTACAAAAATGATATTGGTGATAACAGACATCCTTGCTCCACCTCTGAGCTAAATGGAAAGACTTCTAGTTTACCCCTATTACAGATAATTCTTGCTTTTGTTTTTTTTTCCCCCTTTTTTTTTTAAGGGAATTGGGGTTAAGTGACTTGCCCAGGGTCACACAGCTAGTAAGTGTCAAGTGTTTGGTCTGAGGCCGCATTTGAACTCAGGTCTTCCTGACTTCTGGGCCGGTGCTCTATCCACTGTACCACCTCGCTGCCCCTTGCTTTTGGTTTTAAATAGATACTTATCATTTGAAGAAAAGCTCCATCGTGATTCCTGTGCTTTCTAGAGTTTTTAATAGGATTATGTGTTGTATTTTGTAAAAAGCTTTTTTATATATCTAGTAATATAGTCATATGATTTTTGTTGTTTTTGTTATTTATACGGTCAATTAAGCTGATAGTTTTCCCAATACTGAACCAACCAGTCCTGCAACCTAGTATAAATCCAATCTGTCATTGCATATGAACATTGTGATACATCTCCTTGCTAGTATTTTATTTAAAATTTTTGTGTCCATTTTCATTAGGGAAATTGGTCTATAGTTTTCTTTTCCTGTTTTTGCTCTCCCCAGGTTAGGTATCAATACCATACTAGTGTCAAGAAAGGAATTTGGCAGCACTCCTTCTTTATCTATTTTTTCAAACAGTTTATAAAAGTATTGGAACTGTTCTTTAACGTCTGGTAGAACTTGTTTGTAAATCCATCTAGTCCTGATTTTTTTTCTTAGGGAGCTCATTGATGGCTTGTTCAATTTCTTTTTCTAAGATAGGGTTATTTAGGTATTTTACTTAGATTTTTAAAAAATTCATCCATTTCATTTAGAGTATCAATTTTATTGGCATATAATTGGGCAAAATAGCTGCTAAGAATTGCTTTAATTTCATCTTCACTGGTAGTGCATTCACCCTCTTCATTTTTGATACCGGTAATCTGGTTAAGACATAAGGTTTTGAATGCAGTCAATATGACAGATTTATTTTGCTTAACTCTGCATATGCGTTACAATGGGTCCCCGTTCACCTCATTTCTTCTTCTCAGGGTTGGGTAGAGATAGCAATAGTGATATAAAAAAGGGGGACAATCTAACATTTTAAAAATTCACAGAAGTTCAGAAGGAATCAAAGATTAGCAATTCAGTTCTTAAAGTAATGTACAGTAAGATGAGTGTATGAAATAGATTCCTGGTTACATAGAGAATCCTCTCTGTGTGCTTCCATACATATGTAAACGTTCTTTTTATGGTGTTTGAGTTCAGAAGGAAAAAACCACACACACACATACCCTTCTCAGCTCTAAATCTTATCCCGTTTCCACGTCCTAGAGAAAGTAAAACTGATCTGTCCCATGTCTATCTCGTTTGCACATAGCTGTTTCTATGTTGTTTCCCCCATCAGACTGTGAGCTCCTCCAGAACATTATCTTCTACCTTTCTCTGTATGTCTGGCACTTAGTACAACACCTAATAAATGCTTACTGACGGACTGACTGACCAAAGAAGAATTACCTTCCAGAAGCACTCACCTGGCTGACGGACTGGCTTAGTACCATATGGGCATTGACAGTTTCCAGGATATGGATGGTAAACTCATTCATGTCCTCTAGAGGAAGGATCTTGAATGCCACCAGGCTCTTTTTGTTCTGTTAAAATAACAAGACAGTTTAGGACAAAGAAGGGAACACAGCAGGAGCTCTCTTCAAGCTGCCTCTAAGGCAAGATGATGCAACCTGAAAGTCAGTGATGACCTGGGCTCCTCCTACATCTGGAAGTTGGTTGTCTAGAATGATGAATTATTGACGACAAAAGCAACATTAAGAATCAATGGTAAGGGGGCAGCTAGATGGCGCAGTGGATAGAGCACCGGCCCAGAAGTCAGGAAGACCTGAGTTCAAAGCTGATCTCAGATGCTTGACACTTACTAGCTGTGTGACTGTAGGCAACTCACTTCACCCCATTATCTTGCAAAAAAAAAAAAAAATAATCAACGGTAGTCAGATTCTCCAGACTGCCCCCCCCAAAGCCTAGTTAACCCTTAATAGGCTGCCATATCCTATTAAGCCAATTGTGGACCATAACAACCATGTGTCACCCAGTTTTTATGCAAAACAGATTTAGTTTCATCTTAAGGTATAGGAACACACCCATCCTCTTTCTACAGTGAGATGAAGGGCTCAGCTGCCCCTTCCTCAGTCTGAGCTCAGGACTCTGGCCTCTGACTTTCTTCTATTTCTGACCAGGGTTGCCCTGTTTCTCTGACTTTCAGGAAGCTGAGCACAGGACCTACACACATCCTTTGGAAACTTTTCTAGGGGCTTTCTGTCTTTAATACTCCCACAATTTCATTAGGGTAAATCCTCTTTCCACTAATACAGACTGCAAGTTAAATATAGACTTTGGGGTCTGTGTCTTCTGAAGCATCAGATTCATAAATATGGCTGCTCTGTGGAAGTTTTCCTTATCAGCAAAGCTCTGGACTTATCTACAGACATGTGGGGACTGTGGGGAGACGGGCACAATGTTCTAGACCAGCTTAAATTTCTATTTGGATTTCCAGGTAGCTGACATCTCCACAATTCACAGGCAGAGACAGAAAGGGGCTGCAACAATACTTAAAAACCTGCCTGCTTGACATCTAATATTAACCTAGAACTGAAGGAGGGGAGAACAGAGATTAAACTGCTGGTCTGCTGTTACTGACAGTATTGGTCTTCTTAAAGAAACTTAAGAATTTCAGGTCTGAGAACAGACCCCACCCCTCTGCCTCTTCCCCCTTAATTTTTATAGGAACATAATATTACAAGACTATTTTACACTTCACTTGATATCACAGCTTAAGGGATCTTAAGTAACTGACGTCAAGTTATCATTACTACCAATCTCATATTTGTAAAGGATAATTTACAAGGCACTTTTGTCACAAGTGCCTTAAAAACAAGTAGTATAACTACTACTCCCATTTTACAGGTGAGGAAAATAAGTTTCAGGAAAGAAAAGACTTGGCCAAGCTCAAAGTGTTGAAGATGGGATTTGCATTTAGGTCTTTTTTTGGGGGAGAGGGGTAGGGCAATCGGGATTAAGTGACTTGCCCAGCATATCACACAGCTAGTAAATGTCTGAGGCTGGATTTGAATTCGGTTCTTCCTGACTCCAGGGCCAATGCTCTATCCACTGTGCCACCTAGCTACCCTGCATTTAGGTCTTCTAATGACTGTTCTCTGACACACAATGAACAGATACAATCCACAGACATCACATGCTTTTAACTTTTCAAAGCACTTTCCCATCTAAGATCTTCGCTGCAAGATCTGCAATGTCATTGCATGACACCAGGCAAAGTATTACTAGACCCGTTTTCCAAGCAGATAAGCTAAGACACAGAGGATATGAAACTTGACTCAGTGCTTAGTAAACGTCTACTGAAAATGCTGAAGGCCTTACAACATAGGCCAGTGGTGAGTCAGGATTGAAGATGCCAGGACTGGAAGCAGCCCTGTGCTCTTTTTTTGTTGTTTAAAACGAAATCAATCACCTTTTTACTGACATACACCCAAATCTATGAACAAGAAAAAAAGAAGCAAAACCAAAAACAAAAGAGCCACTGGGGATAACTGTCCACACAAGGTGCTTCTCTTCACTGCCTGAGAGGATGGAGTAGTAGGCACAGGAGCAGATGTGAAGTCAAGAAGACCTGGGCTCAGGCCCTGCCCCAGACATGAACCAGCTGTGTGACCTTGGGCGGACTGCTCTACCAGACAACTAGCCAAGAAGACGTGAAGGGCAAGTCTGTGTTGTGAACGGAAGAACTTTCACTCTGGGAGGTCGTCAGACTGATGAACTTGTAGGTCCAGCCCCCAGAGAAACATGAGCGTTATATAAGGTGGGGACAAAGTCATTCTCTGTATTTAACATCAGTCTGGTTGCTGTTTAACATTTAATGCTGTCTCCACTCACAGCCGGAGTGTGTGTACCTAAACGCAGGTGTACGCACGTAGACTGTCACTTCAGTTCTTTCTTCTGGACTGTGAATCGCCTCAGAAAAGTCCCCATGTTGCTCTGGATTCTTCATATTTATTGCTTCTTATTACATGACGTTTTACAACATGCAAATGCAGTTTAAGTCATTCCCTGACTGTTGGTCACATTTGTCTGATTCCAGATTTTGACGTTTTTGTAATCGTAACTAGTGCTGCTAGGCCAGCTTCAGAAAAACCTGGGAAGACTTAAATAAACTAATGCAAAGTGAAGTGAGCAGAACCAATGCATATGTTCCTTCCACTAGACCCAACTGTTATTCTCTAAGTGCTCACTGGAATGAAAAATGACAACTGTTTTCCTACAAGAGACAGGAGAAAACGTAACACTTCATGAACTGTTCTCAAACTCATACGTTTCAACAATTCTGACGCAGACCAGACTACTGTGGGACAAATACAGACGTTTAGCGTGTGCAAAATGTAAATGTCCTTTTACTCTGAAGACTCACAATTTGCCAGAAGATGGGGTTCAAGAACCTATTATTTATTCCCAACACTGACAGTAGTGGTTATGTGATGGTGGGCAACTCACATCATTATATGAGCCTCAGTTTCATCCCCTGTAAAGCAGAGATAATAATCGTACTATCTGCCTCCCAGGGTCACTGTAAATGAAGCACTAGGTCAACTGCAAAGTGGTATATAAATGAGTGACGATTACTACTGATGTCCGACTTTACCTGGAAAGACCTGAGATGACCAGCCACTTTCACATAGGTTTCTGGTGGTACCACAGTATTCTCACTGCTTGTGTCCTAAGAGTAGGGGAAGAAAAATCAACCTGTGAGTCTTTTATGGCCATTGATTAACGTGTCTGTTTAATTACCAACATGGGTAAGGAAAAATGAAAGTTAAAAACAGGTACACCTTTGTGGCAAGAGAAGTGATTTCTATTCTTTCTACACCAGTGGGTCTTGAAGTTAGAATGAAGAGTCCTGTCACACTCTTAGCTTTCCTGAGGACTCTGGGCCAGCTGCCGCCCTTCTCTGGTCTCAGCTCTCTCTCCTCAAGGTCCAGCCCAGACTCAACTTTAAGAAGACTTTAAGAATGAATGTCAAAATAGCTCAAGACTCCAAAAGCCAATAACACTTCAGAGTTGGCAGAACTCCCAACACCGGTGGCATGCAAAAAGGTCTGGACTTTACTTAGTAGACAACAGAGAGCCACACAAAAGTTTTGGATCAAAGGAATAAGACCAAAATCTGTGCATAAGAATAATTAGGTTGGCAATATAAGGTAAGATAGATTGGAAGAACTGGAGTCAGGGAGGCCAGTCGGGAGGACGTTACAATAATCCAAGCAAGAAAGAAAGAGGACTTAAAAGAAATGACTCTATTTCTAAAGGCAGAATTACTGGCACTGAGAAAGGTGTAGAGGGAAGAGAGTCACTGTGGGCAGCGGACAGAGAGGAAATCTCGGTATCAGGAAGACTTGAATTCAAGCGACCCTGCTACAAGCTGTCAGTGGTCCTGGCAATGCTCAAAGCGTAGAAGTCACGGGACAGTTCTGAATCTGCACTAGTAGAGGTAATTTCCTACACCAATGAAATCACAGGTGCCCCCCAACAAACACAAAGGCAAGAGGGGTTGGTATTGGGCTTAATCTGCACTTCTTACCTCACACTAAATGGGTGACTAGCTATTCTGCCTCTGTGTATGGCAGAAGGTATACTGATGACGGACTCAGCTTGGGCATTTAATAGAGCGTACCTTCATCTTCACATTCCATCCCCATCCACCTTTAGGAAAGGTATTCCAAAGGCTCTCATGCAAAGTCATCACCTTTCACAGACCCTATGAGGTATAATGAGATGGCCTGGCAACATGATCTCAGAGACAAATACACTAGAGCTGTCTGACTGGACAGGTGCCTCTTCCTGGGCTACCTCTCCCCACAGCCTGGCCACTGTGGGCTCCTGCTGTTTCTTTCATCTAGAATGAAGGGGTTTTCCCATCCTTCAAGGTCCATGCTCCACCTACTCCATGAAGCAAGGCTCAGTGACTAGGACACAATCCAGCCTTCACTTAAAGACCTCCAGTGAGGGGGATAGCACTATCTCCCCCCCCCAAGGGAGCCCATGGGGCCAAACAAAGCAAATTTCTTTCATAACCCTCCAAATACCTGAAGTGGGTTATCATCCTTCCCCTTCCCAAAAGCCTTCTTTTCTTTAGGCTAAGCTCATTCCCTCAACTGATTCTAATATATCATGGTCATCTCCAGTAGCCTCATTATCTTGGGCTCCCTCCTGCAGACACGTTCTAGTTTACCAATATCCCTTCTAAAACATGGCATCCCAATACTCCTGATGTGGTCTGATTGCAACAGAGTCCAGCAATGCTATGCTGCTTTCCATAAGCCTGAGACTGTGTGGAAGTTCACTGACACCAAAAGATCTTTCCCACGCACCCCAAAGTGCTTACATCGGTGTCCACCCACTGTCTGACGTCCATCGGCGCAGCAGTCATATCATCTATTTTGTAAACAATGTTAGTTGGTGCCTTCTCTGCTTGTCGGATTATTCCCACAATAGTAACCTACGTAAAAAGGTACACAATGATTTTCCTGAGTCCCAGAGTGAAACTTATGCCCTTTTAATTACAAACCATCAACCAGTGATTCTACCAAGATGTTGTTGCCATACCTGTGAAATCTCAATCTCCCCAATCTTAAATACTTCATCAATCAGGCTGGCAGAAAGGAGCTGTGATATGGTACAAGGGACAATGTGCTGGGCTCGTGCTCTCTGTAAAGACAAAACACCCGTCAGTCTCCCCAATACAACCACAGGGATCTCAAAGAAAAACTCAGTTAGACACTAAGGATCAGCAGTAAAAGACAAAACCAAAAGCAAGCAAAAAGACAGGGTGGACTGAAAGCTGGAGTTCTGCTCTGTCTGTGAGGGAAACAACAACAAGAAGTCTGTGTGCAGAGCTGGACCCCACTCAGGACATTCTTGCGCTCGGTTTTCACCTCACATAGCCTCTGAGATCTTTATTACATCTCTTTGTAGCACAAGAAAACGAAGGTTCTATTAATTCACTCGGTGACCCTAGGCAAGGGCCATAATTTAGAGGTGAGGGAATGAAAGAAAGAGTCCCCAATTTATTTCAGTCCATACAGAGAAATTTCGTGCAATATTGTTGTGTAAAGATTACAAAGGATGCATTAGTTTCTTGTCATGAGGACAATGCACCGATCCCAAGCCACATTTAGGTAAGCACACATTCTTTAAGTATCCACTGTATAAAGTGACTCGATTCTAGCTAAGACAAGTCAAAAGGGCTTTGGGAATGCCACGCTTATTTTTTTCTAGCTGAGCCAGGAGGTAGACATCAAAGTAGACCGAGGTTTTACTGAAACTTGCTCCCTTCCCTGCTCCCTCTCGCTTCCAAGAACATGTCAATTTAGGGCCACGTGGGCTAGGACCTTGCATTTAGAAAACCAAATCCCTCCATATCCCAAGGAGGCAACCGAGTGGAAGTGACATTCTAATGGAATTAAAGAATTCCATTCTAATGGAAGGACGGAACCTCATCAATACTGACACTCCCCCCGAAAACAGATTCAGAAGGAAGCTGTGGCTAAAGAGGAGGCTGGCTCAAGGGTTTTCCTTGGACAGGAATGAAGCAACAGAACTGGTTTTATTGTGCACCCAACAACAAGAAGCGCTTCAAGGGACACGTTATGTTACCTTGGGGTGCTCACTGTGATGAGCTTAAGCAAAAAGACCCCTGTGAAGGGAACTGTAGCTTATGGGCCAACACATACTGCAGAGAATGAAGAGGTAGAAAACCCACACAAAGAATCCGACAAGCACCACCAAACCAAGTTTATGTGTATTTTGATAACTGGTATCTTTAATATGAAGTAGAGCCCAGAAGAGGTTGGAAAATGAAGCTCAGGTTTAAGACACCAAGGAAGCCAAAAGTTTCTAAACTAAACTTCTAAACTACTCAGAAGCCTCTCAACTGGAAGTCATGAAAACTTTTTCCAAGAAGATACTTAAAGGTATGGGATCTAATAAGTAAATAATACAACAAAAAACAAAAGTATCTTTACAAGAAACTGGATACTGAAACAGGGAATACGTCAGAATCAGCTGTCTATGTGCAGTCTAATCAGCAGCTAGCTTTAGAAAAGGCCAAAATCTACAAACCATCTCTTCTGAAGCACAAAAGTCTCAAAGGAAGATGTAGCCTTTGAATGTAGGAACAGCAACTTACTCAGGGGAAGATTCACTAGCTGTTTTGTTAATTTTAAAAATGAAACCAGATTCCTAGAGAGTCCTCAGAAGTAGAGGAAGAAGAGACAGGAGAGAGGTGTGGGCCAACCCACACCATTTTTTATCTTGAGACAGTACTCCCTCCTTGCACCACTGTGAGAAGGGTTGATTGCAGAAATGATTCCATGGGAGCAGCGGCTGCTGTTGAGGGCTGATCCAATTTACGTAAGACAGGCCCCATCCCATCACTAGGTTCCCCTTTCCCTTCCGTGGCTCTAATCGAAAAGGGAAGGCTCTGACACTTCCGGCATCTAATCAGGAAGCCCTTTCCCACTCCCTAAAGTCAATCACTGGCTATTTTATTTACAATCTGTGCTGATCAACTGAATGTTCTGTCCATTCCTCCCTTTCTGTCCTTATTGATTCTCTATGATACATAAAATTAATCTGAGCTAAAAAAATAAGAAAAATAGAAATAAAACTATAGAAACAAATACAAATTAAAGGAGTTGACAAACATTTATTAAGCTTATCTCCACATCCTCTCCTGCCCAGCCCATCCCCTAGACATCCCCACATTACCATGTCAATTCTGTTTATACTTAAATATCCCAAATGGGTACTCTTCTCTAAGCAGGGAGTTTCTTTAGGAAGAAGTAAATGAAACAGTACCAACTGTTTATCTTTATTTTCAACTTACTGATTTCTTTTCAGCCTGAGAAGCAGCAGGAGTGCCAAACCCCCCTGGGGGCTGTGTGTAGCCACCACTTACGTAGGAAGTGTTCCCATAGCCTCCGTCAAATCCACCTGGCGTTAATAGCAGATCAAGGACATCAGAATCGCTTTTCCTCGCTGGGGTCAAGAATCCTCCATCCCATGCTGGGCACCCAGCCCATGCCCCCGGCCCCAGATTAGGGCCGAGCCTCTCTCCCCACCCACCCCTTCCTATGTCCGTCCCCCCTTCATGAATCCCCAGCCCTGGATTAGGGGCGGGCATCTCTCCCCACCTACCCCTTCATCAGCTCCCTAGCCCCAAATTCGGGGCGGGCATCTCTCCCCACCCACCCCTTCCTATGTCCGCCCCTCCTTCATCACCTCCCTAGCCCCAGATTAGGGGCGGGCATCTCTCCCCACCTGGTTCCCTGATTAGCTCCCCATCTCCAGACCCCTTTAGAACCTCTATCCCCAGCGGCTCCCGCCCATTATCCCCCTCCCCAGACTGCTGCCAAACCTCTCTTCCCTGAGAGGCCCCCACCTCAGCACCCCCACCCTCGGAACCTGGCCGAGCCTCTCTCTCCACCTCTTTGTACATCTCCCTTTCCCTCTTCTGTGCCCCCTCCCCTAAAAGGCCCTCGCCCAGTTCCTCCATTACTGTTCCACATGGTGGCCGCAGCGCCCCGAGGGCTGTAGCGGGGCCGGCGTCCGCAAAGTCCACTCGCAGCCCGAGGAATTCCGCAGTTTCTCCACCTGGGAGAAACCTGACTCTACTTGGCGCCACAAACAGTATCCCGCGAACGGCCGTACCAATCAACTCGCTGGCTGCTTCCCTTTCCGCCCCTTTCAGCCAATCAACGCTGACGATACTCCAGGTTCACCCAATGGGCTTGGACAATACTAGCGAGGCGTGCGCACACTTTGGACCAGCGAGAGAAACGTGAAGTCCTCGCGGCCATATTTAGTACAGGCAAAGAACCAATTCGAGCTACAGGTGCTAGAAACCCTGGCTAGAGAAACATCCTTGGAAAGCGACCAGTGAAGAGGTAAGATCTTACCCTCGTGTGGTCCCGCCCCTCGGAGATGACGTCACCTTCCCCTCTAGGAACCTCTTTCTCACTTCTAGGCTCTCGGAGTCTCGCAGCTGACGGACAAGGGCGCAAGCGCAGATCACTCAGTCCAGTCGGGACTGGGCGGGCAGTATCGATCAGCACCCTCCGGCCTCAGGCGCTGCGGTGCTTTGAGGGCGCCGAGTCCAACACTGCCTCCTCCCACCCTGTTTTACAGTGCAGGACACTGAGTCCTAGAGAGTGGGCGTGACAAGCCCACGGTCACCCAGGGAGCAGCCGGCCCGGCCTGAGCCTCCTCACGACGGGGCTGGTGTCTGAGGAGTGCCCTGTCAGGTTGAACCCTCTACAAGGGTTGTTATCGCCTTTTACATATGAGGAAACTGAGTTAAACGTGCGGGGGCGGGGCAGAGCCAGGGTTTGGCACCCACGCCAACCCCCAGCCAAGCTCCTTCGCTCCCCAGGGTCAGGCTCAGACAGGCAGCTAGTGTTAATTAAAATGCACTTGATTACCGCCACCGACATGCCAGGTGCTGAGGTTCCAACCCGAACATCAAAGAACAAGCACTAATTAAACGCCTCCTACATACCTGGCCCCGTACTAAGCCACGGAGACCCAAAGAAACAACAAAGAAGGTCCCTGCCCTCAAGGAGCGCACAGTCGAATGGGGAGGCAACGTGTAAACAGCTACGTACAAACAGGACGTTTGCAGGGTAGATGAAGGCACTCGCATTAAGGGGCACTGGAAAAGGTTTCTTGCAGAAGGTAGGATTTTAGCTGCGACTTGAAGGGAGAGAATTCCGGGCTTGGGCTTGGGAGAGATGATCTCTCAGAAGTGAAGCTTCCTCAGGGGATCAATGGCTCTTGTTAATATTTCTTGTGTGTTGCTTTCAAAACCCTTCCCCTCTCAGAGCCTGTTTTTGAATGCTTAGCAGAAAGAATAGCCTGCCCCCAACCTGAACTGCTTGCCCTTTGAAAAGCTTACTAAATAAGGATATTATGTTTGGATTGGCTATACCCTGTTTCCTTGTTCTTTGCCTTTGATTTTTCCAGCCTAGAATGTAAGCCCGCCTCCCAGCTAATGGGATAAGATTTTTCCGACCCTTTTTGTCCTTGGTGCTGGGGAGAAGTTTCCCCGCTTAGACTGTGAGCTCCAAAGCCCAGCCAATGGGAAGAAGAGCCAGTGGGTGGGCAGGGGGATTGCGTTAGGATCTGAACACATTCCTGCTGTCTTCAGTGGGCGCCATCTTTTGGGTGCTCTGAGAGAGCCGTTTCTCGAGAAAGCCAGCAAACGAACTATTCTTTTTGCTAATATCTCTGAGTCTCCAATTTATTGGTAAGGGTCTTCGTAGCCCACACAGGCTTGTCAACCATTTGGTTTGCTCCAAAGAAACAAACAATCAGTTTCCCCCTTAACCGAAGGTTTGATCTAATAACAAACAGAATGGGGTTCACCTTTCCAAAGGTTTGACGAGGAACAAACAATCAGGCCGTACATGTGCTATAATGTGTTTATTTATTCTCATTAAGCCAAAGAATGATGCGTGCATGGGAGTCAGAAAATAATTCTGAACTCAGAATAAACAAGCTGGAGGAGACCCTTTATACATTTAGAGCAATCTCAACTCAGGATGCTTGTGTCAACCAAAATTATAGTCTCCATTTATGGGTTAACCATAACATGAGAAAGGAATTTCTTAATAGGATAGATTGTATATACAGTAAGATAAAAGAAGTATGAAAGTGTCAATCAAAATTGTAGATCCAGGATGTCTGTGTTACTTTTCTCATTAACATGACTAAATATGTGTGTGTGTGTACATATATATCATAACATAGCATGACATGTGTCCATAAAATAGCAAGATAAAATAAGTCCCAATATTCAAGATAGTGTTCAGTTCAAGGTGCCTAGTCCTTGGTAGTCATAAACCGCAGAATGTTCTTGGTCAGCTTCATCTGGCCTTGTAGCTGCTGACACAGGAAGGGGCATTTTGAGTTCACTCAGAGAGCAAAGCAAAGCATGTCTGTTACACCAGAGCATAAAAGGCAGTATGATAGGTTAAGCTTAGAGCGGGCCAAAAAATGTCTTTCTCCTGACTGGCCAATCCAGGTTTTAGGCCTTTCTTAGGTGATGGGGGTGGGGGGGGCTCAAAAATGGTTCGCAGAGTACAGCCAGTCAAAAGGCATGGAGTGAAAAACCAAACTTCCTGCCCCAAAGGAGCTTATGTTCTATTGAGGGCCAACAACATTGAAGTAGAACAGAATACAAAGTAAACTCAAGGTAATTTAGGGGGAGATCTAGAAGGTCCTTATGTAGGAGATAGCTCTTGAAACGAAGCTTGGAGGGAGGCAGAGGGAGGTATGGCCCAGGATTAGGGAGAGCCTGGGCAAAGATATAAAAACAGAAAGCACTGTGAGTACATTTTGGCTGGAAGGTACAGTGTGTGAAGGGGAATAATATGTAATAAGTCTGGAATGGTAGAGTAGAGCCAAATTGTGAAAGCTTGAAGTGCAGTTTCAATCCATTGCCTAATAAGGAAAGTTCACAGAATCTCAGGAGTTAGAAAAGATCCCATGATGAACAGAAATCCTCTGGAGCAGTGGAACTCCAGCCCCGGCTTGAAGAGCTCTGGTGTGGGAGAGCTCCCTGCTTTATGAGGTAACCTTTCACTTTTGTTGGCAATTATATTGAGCCTCAGTATGCCTTTCTGCAACTTGTGTTGGTTAGCATTCTGAAACTAAATAAACAAGACTAATCACATGAGACAAATATTGAGAAAGATGACTAAAGCACTTACCATGTGGCAAGCTCTATGCTGAACCCTGCTAAGGGCTGTAAATGCACATACGAGCAAAAAGATGGTCCCTACCCTTACCCTTACATGCTAATGGGGGATGATAAAACATAAAAGGGATGAAAGGCTAGTGGATGGGTATCCGTTCTATTTGGAGAGGAGGAAGGGAGGAAGAAGATTGACAAGCCCTGTGAGTGAGGAGCAGGAGGCAAGTCTGAAGTGCCCAGAGCTGGCGTATTTCCTGAAGTGGAGGGTCCGAGCGCTCCTCAGTCACTTGGAATCTGTTATCATCCCTGACTTAAGCCTTTTCTCCAAGATTCAGCATCAGTATTTCCTTCAGTCTTCCTCTAGCATGTACTTCAGCCTCTTTACCTTCCTGAAAGTTTTAGCTTGTCAATATCTTTGCTAAAATGTGGCACCCACAACCAAGATGAGGAGGGAAGCAGAAAACTGGAAAAGAATTTTTACAGCCAGTGTCTCTGATAAAGGCCTTATTTCTAAAATACATAGAAGACGAAGTCAAATTTATAAGAATACAAGTCATTCCCCGGATGATAAATGGTCAAAGAATATAAACAGGCAGTTTTCAGATGAAGAAATTAAAGCTTATTTATAGTCATATGAAAAAATGCTCTAAATCCCTATTGATTAGAGTAATGCAAATCAAAATGACTCTGAGATACCACATCACACCTATCAGATTGGCCAACATGACAAAACAGGAAAATGATACATGTCGGAGAAGGTGTGGTAAAATTGGAACACTAACACATTGTTGGTGAAGTTGTGAAATGATCCAACCATTTTGGAGAGTAAATTGGAACTATGCTCAAAGGGCTATAAAAATGTGACCCAGCGATAGCACTTCTAGGCCTATATCCCAAAGAGATCGTACAAATGGGAAAAGGACCTACATGTACAAAAATATTTATTTTTATTTTTTGTACAGCTGTATATGTGGTAGCAAAGAATTGGACACTGAGGGGATGCTCATCAATTGGGGAATGGCTGAACAAGTTGTGGTACATGAATGTAATGGAATATTATTGTGCTATAAGAAATGATGAGCAGGCAGACTTCAGAAAAACCTGGAAAGACTTGTATGAACTAATGCTGAGTGAAGTGAGCAGAACCAGGAGAACATTGTACACAGTAACAGCCACATTGTGTGATGACTAACTTTGATAGACTTAGCAGTTCTCAGCAATGCAAGGATCTAAAACATCTCCAAAAGACTCATGATGGACAATGCTATCCATATCCAGAAAAAGAAGTATGGAGTCTGAACGCAGATCGAAACATACTATTTGCAATTTTTTTTCTTCTGTTTTGTTTCCTCTTTCTTGTGGTTCCTTCTATTGGTTGTAATTCTTCTTTACAACATGACTAATGTGAAAATATGTTTAACAGGGATGTATATGTAAAGCCTATATCAGATTGCATGCCATCTTGGGGAAGGAGGTGAAGAAGGAGGGGGAGAAAATTTAAAACTCAAAAGCTTAATAGAAGTGAATATTGAAAACTAAAAATAAATTAATTTTTTAAAATGTGGTGCCCATGGCCTCAGACACTTGATACTTACTAGCTATGTGACCTTGGGCAAGTCACTTAACCCCGATTGCCTCACACACACAAAAGAAGTGGTACCCAGAACTGAATTCAATATTCTGGATCAGGGATTATCAACCAGAGGTCCATATAATCTCACTTTTAAATCCTTGAAACTGATTTTTTATCTTACCGCTCTTCAGAAGCTTTTGTGTCTGGTGTTACCAAGCGTCTCTCTGACAGCAAATCTGATAATATTTTCTCATGTTCTTCTTGACTCCTGAGCCTTTTTGACCGCCCTCTTGTCCCTTGGCTCTCATGGCACTATCCTTTCATATCTGTCTAGTTCTCATAGTCCTGTGTTAGATCGTTATTTATCTCTGCCTTTCTTAGTATAGGTGACCTCTCATCATATATTTTCTTTCTTGAAGAACCTATTTTCATGGGTTCAAGTATGGTCTCTAATCAGATGATTCCTAAATCTAATATCTAGTTTCAGTATTTCTTCTGAGACAACCATGCATTGCCATCTGCCTGCTAGGTAGTATCTCTTAAGTGTCCATAGGCATCTTAAACTCATATGTCCAAAACTTAATTAATAATTTGCCCCCTACCCCATGCCTAAACTTATCCCTCGTCTGGACTCTCCTGTTTTTCTTGCGGAAACTACCATTTTCCCAGTCACCCAGGATCATAACTTCAGAATCTTTTTTTTTTTGACTAAGCAATAAGGTGAAGTGACTTGCCCAGAGTCACACAGGTAGAAAGAGTTATGTGTCTGAAGCTGGATTTGAACTCAGGTCCTCCTGAGTCCAGGGCCGGTGCTCTATGCACTGCACTACCTAGCTGCCCTTTTTGGTTTTTAGAGTCATTCTTTACTTACCCCACATCCAGTGTCCCAATAAAAATCTTCAATTAAGAGAAACTGAGGTACAGAGTTCCAAACATGATCCATTTATTAGCAAAGCTAGCGATTGCTAATGAATGGGATCCAAGACTCCGCAGTAGCCAAAACCTGACGGGCATTATAGCTCTTCTATAATATTGAAAATGCAGAAGTAGCACAAACATTACATAGGGTGCAAAAAACAGACCATAATGCGAATTGCATCAGAAGCAGAGAGTAGAGGTGGAGCTTGGGTTACAATTAGTCTGAGTCAAAGACAGTAATTTCCATAACCCTGACAACAGGGTAAACAAAGCCTCTGGAAAACCACATAGTCAGCAGAGTTCATGAATTACAATTTTTGTGGTAGGACTTCAGCTCATAAGAATAGGGAAGTTAAACTCTTACAAATTTTACTAAGAGGAGCTAGTTTGAATCTATCTAACTAGGCCTATGCAGTCAACTCTGATTTTGATTCACAAATATTGATTCTGATTAGAGCAACTGATTAGATACATTTCTCAACGAATATTTCATCATGGAATATCAATTTTCACATTTTATATTCTCCTCCTTTGATTCTTTGGAAACATGTTTCCAGTGAATCACCATCTATAAACCAAATTAATATAATTAGGAATGATCAAATAATCAACATCCACTGGAATTAAATTAGCAATGGGGAAACTGTACAGATATGTGTAATCAGTCTGAGAAGGGAGATTCACAGAAGCATCATGAACCATAGAAAGCGATAACTACATACAATCCTTTATACAGGGCCAGAAAAAAACTATGAGGCTAGCAGATTAGGTATGCCCTCTGCCTCCCAATCAGGAAAATATATAAGATAACCAGGAAGAAAGATCCCATCATAAGCGAGGTGAACCTATTTCTGTTAAAGAATTAACATCTACAAGGAGGAAGGAGATGGCATTGGATGTTTCAAAGAAGGATTTTGTTTATGCCACCAGGCTCCAAGGTTTCTAGGAGCTGTCTTTCCTTATCAACATTAGGGATTAGAAACATTCTTGGGACATACTGTTTTCACATGTAGCAGGAGTGTATCCAAGTATGGCAGTAAGGAGCAGGTTTCGTGTGGGAACAGTACACCCAAGAATCTAAGCATTTTGGCTACAAAAGTAGCTATAGCAAACAAATGTCTGAGTTTCCCTCAAGAGGAAAACTCACAATGGCCTCAAAACCATCAGGCTAACTCTTAGTTAGAAGATTTTATTTACCTTTATCTATAACTAGCCCATTGAGAAAGTCTTTTAGGGGGCAATCACCTCTGGTAGAGAGGCATAGGCACATGAGGAAAAAGAGAAATAAGAGTGTTGGCAAATCCTATGTTGAGTCCTGCCAGTTCGCTGGAAATGCTTGACATTGATGAAAAAGTTCAAAGTCCCAATCCGTATTGCAGCCTCCATTGTAGAGTTCTTTCAGCCTACTTTGAAATTCTCACGCGTAGGAAGCAATAATATACATTTCTAGAACAAGCCACGCTCTGAAGGGGCTCCCTTTTCCAGGTCTGCTTCTCAGGTTCCAAGAGTCCATAGGAAGACATAATATGAACTCAATATAATTTAATACTGACAAGGTTTTCGGGGTGCTGGCACCCCAAGAATGCCAAGGCAGTATTGCCTGGAATGAATTCACACATTCAAGCCTTCTCATAGTCAAGTGGCAAAAAGTTTGTTGTAACACTTTAGCAAAAGCAGGCAAGGGTTCTTATGGGAACCTGTGAGAGAATTAGGATGGTGCTGGGGCTTATATGGGAAAGGAAGGCTACAGATGCTAATCAGATAATCTAGGGGATTTTTTGGGAGCTATGGATGGGAAAGTGTAGGGAATATACCAGATATTGAAGGAGTTGTCAGAGGAATGGTGCCAAGAGAGTCCTTGGGCCAGCCAGAGACAAAAATCCTTGGGCCAGGCACCCTCTGTCTGTTCTGATAAGAGAATGTATTCTGCAACAAGAGAAAATTTTCTCACAAGACAGGGACCTATTGAGAAATTGGGAGACTTCCAGAGACATGATCTTAGGTCTAGGGCCTGAGCACCCCATCAAAACAACCTTCTAGCTCAAGCCTTATGATTCTGATTTTATTAATAGAGCTGTAAGAAGAACATCAAATAAAGAACACATAATTCACCTGAAATGTCAGTGAATTTCAGTTGTTACATCATGAGGTCCTGAGTTGGAAAATGAGTTTTTCTTTCTAAAATGAGTCTGGGGCAGCTAGGTGGTGCAGTGGATAGAACTCCAGCCTTGGAGTCAGGAGGACCTGAGTTCAAATCTGGCCTCACACACTTGACACTTACTAGCTGTGTGACCCTGGGCAAGTCACTTAACCCCCATTGCCGAGCCAAAAAGCAAAACAAAACAAAATAAAACAAAACCTAAAATGAGTCTGTATTTCTTTTAAA